CATCGTAATTGAAAAGAGGCCATTGGTCAACCCAGCTTAGTACTGTTTACTGCAGGAGTAGGGAACCTGAAGCCCTCCAGATGTTTCTGGGTTCCAACTCCCATCATCCCTGGCCATTGGTCATGCTATCCGGGTCTGATGGGCGTTGTAGTCCCAACAACATCTGGAGAGTCAGAAGTTCCCCATCCCCAATCTGCTATGACTGGCAGTGACTCTCCAGGCAGGAAAAAGAAATTCTTTCCCATTCTCTGTTACCAGATCCTTTTCACTGAAGATGCCAGGCGCTGAACATGAGACCATCTGCATGTATAGCAGCTGCTCCATCACTGAGCTGTGTCCTAAATAAAAATGTATATGTGGATATCTGGGTCATTTACGAGATGGAATTTTGGGCATTCGACTTTCTGCATATGCTCTGCCACTGAACTGCCCCGTGCACCACAATAGTGTTCACTATTACTCCATAGGCTCTGTGGCTGAGAATTCATGCACTAAATGGCAGCTCAGATCAATATTTCTTTTTTCTTTTCTTTTCTGGGTACAGAAGTTCTGCATGGCAGCTGTTTTAGAGAGGGCCTCACAATGTACCAGGCCATTCTGTTACAGGCCTTCAGGTAGCTGTCACGGAACAAGGAAACTGAGAAGGGAAACACCAGTGTGATACTGCTGAATTGCAGCATATCCAAAAGTTACATTCTGTTTGTTTGGGTCTGAAGAGAGACCCAGCTAAGCTTTACAGAGTAGAACCCATTGAAATTAATGGACCTAACTTAGTCATGTGCATTAATTTCTGAGAAAAACGTAGCTGAATGGTTTCCTGTTCCATTCCGCTGGAACTTAACCCCAACTTTTACATCCCCGCCCTTTACATCTATGCATATGACTTGAGACCCAGGAGAGGGTCTTCTCTGTGGTGGCCCCTACACTGTAGGACTCTCTCCTTGCAGAGGTGCATCTGACACATTAATTTGATAGTTTTCACTGCATTTTGGAAGACTTGTCTCTTTCCCCTGGCTTTTGACAGTTGTTTTGTGGGACACACCTCATTTGTTTAACTGCACTGTTCTGGTTATTATAAGTTTTACTCTTTTTTGCAATTGTGATTTGCAATGTGATTGTGTAATGATTTTTTCAAATAACTCTCTGCCCTGGGACCTTATGGCAAATAACTGAGGATCACACTCCATGGATGTGACGGTCCATGGCAGGCACAAGAAGCAGGGTCTTTTTTGGTGGTGGCTCCCCTATGTGACATGCTCTTCCCCTTGAGACTCACACCAGTGGCTCCCTTCTAACCTTTAGGAAGCAAATTCTTCACTGGGCTTGTGAGGACTAGGTTTATTTTAGCCACGCCATCCAAAGAAGCTAAACTTTTAACAGGACAGATAAAAGTATGTACCTTATTCACAGTGTGAATAGTTAAACTACAGAATTCACTATCACAGGATGGATGCTTTTAAAAAGAGGATTAGAGAAATGCATTGAGGATAAGGCTATCAACAGCTACAAGCCATGATGGCAGTGTCCTACTTCCAGTGTCGGAGGGAGTATGCCTCTGACTATCAGCAGGTGGGGAACGTGAGCAGGACAGTGCCATTGCACTCATACTCTGCTCGCTGGCTTCCCAGAGGCATCTAGTTTGCCCCTGTGAGAACAGGATGTTGAACTAGGTGGGTCTTTGACTTGGTCCAGCTGGGCTCTTACTATGTTCTAATCTGTACCTTATTTTAAAATGGCATTTTATTATTTTAATGTGGGTTTTGCATGGAGTTTACTGGAGCCGACAATTGCTTTGGAGATCCAAAAGCAGAGGTGGAAAGGAAGCACAGGGTTCTGCGGGATAGTGGTAACATTTATTTAATAATTCCCCCAATGATCAGTAAAAAGAATCTGGCGTGCTAGGAAAGAGGTTTGTTTTACAAATGCAAGGCTGGTTCTTTCCCCAAGTTTTTTGATATGGGGCAGCTTTAGGCCTTCGAATGAATAAGCAGAAGCCACTCCACCGTCACTCTGCAACGACAGCAAGCTGGAATGGTCCTGCTCAGATAATTAGGAACATTAGATGCCCCTAAAGCTCACAAAAATATGGTTGCTATGTAAGACCTACTCTGGTCCCTTGTGGCTCTGAACAGGTGCGTGACAGAAGAGAAATGTCAGCAGGCGAAACTTTCCACTGTTACTGCATCTTGGTGGCAGGGGAGCCTCAGCTGTTACACGCACCCTGCCTCACATGTAGCTGGGATCCCTGCCAGAAAGAAACGGCAGCAGCTCCTAAACAAAAAGACATCCTAGTGAGCGAGCTTCAGATCCCCAAGATATGACTAAATAAAGCAAAACACAAATACTTGAGTGTCTGGGGGGTATGGCCTCCTCCTCCTCCTCCTCCATCATCCTTATCAAGCCAAAGCATTTCCCAGGAAATCAACACATTCCTCGTCTCTGGGGTAATGCAGAGGCTGGAGTCTGAATGATTCATTGAGTTTGCAAAGGCTGCGTGCCTGGGCATATTCTGTTCAATTAATCAGTGGACGACCACAGCTTTTTACAAACTAGCATTATGGGGGAGAGTGGATCAATGATGCATTACGACTTTCCTAATGAGTTCCTGTGACTTCGCAAGTGCTGGGACTTCAGTTGGATTTGAAGGCCACTCCTACGGATTTTGGGAAAGTGCCTTGATCTATTCACTCACTGCCACTGTGATTGTTCACCTGGAAGGGCCATAAATTAGTGGCTATAGCATTTTGTGTGCTGTCCCAGACAACTCCAGATAAGAAAGGGAAAGACTCCTGTCTGAAAACTTAATCGAGAGACACTGCCAGTCTGATTAGACCAAAGCTGGGGAACCTTTTTTTTCCAGCTTGCGGGCCATATTTCCTGCTGAGCAACCTTTGAGGAGCCATATAGCAGTGGTTGGCAGTGCCAGGGGCAAAAATGGGAAGAGCAATGAATGTAAATTTTACCGTAATAAATATTTAAGATCCCTTTCCACCTCCATCCCCCAGCTGGGAAAACCTTACACTGAAGACAGCATAACACCTTTTATATTGTTCAACTGTAGGCCTGCATTTTAATCATTGTTGTAAGCTGCTCTGAGCAATGCAAATGAAAGGGCAGGTTATAAATCTTTCAAATAAATAATAAGAATCCAGAAGTCAGATGATGCTTTCCTTTCAGAAGCCATTAGCAGAGCACACAATGCTGCTTTCATGTGCCCAGGTGATTATAAAGCCCACATATCTGGGAAGGAAGCAGAGTGTAGCAAACTTTGGAAGCCAGTATTTCAGTGCACTTAGTGGGAACCCCTGCGAGCAGAAAATAAAGGTAATGCTAACAGGGTTTGAAAAGCAGAGAGAAGAGGCAACCTGCATTATGCCTTTGACTCTATTGGCCCATCACGCCTTCTGCTCTTTTCTGAGCAATCAACCTAAACATGAATATCAGCAAAGCTGTTAGTTAAATGCAAGCCAAGCAATATCTCCATCTGTAGAATGTTTTCCAATTGACAATAAAATGCAAGTTGCCACTACATTAAAATCTCCTCTATGCACTGCACTCAACACACACTCATCATTTGGCATCATCAGAGGACTTCAGATCATTACACAAAGAGGGAGGGTGGGACCAGCCAACTGCATGCCAGGCCAAGGTTTAGGGCGAAATGAAAGCTGTTTCCTGAGAGCAGAAATTTTTAAAGCGGCCACCTCAGATAATGATGCATTCATATTCCGGGCTCTGTTCTGCCTTCTACCTTCCAAAGCAGTATAGTCTAGATTTCAGAACCAGGAGAATTCCTCCATGCTACAACAACTAGGTGTTAAATTTAGCTCTAGTAACAGTTGTCACATTGGGTGTGGGGAACCTGTAGCCCTACGGCTGCAGTTAAGACTCCCATCAGCCCCAGTCAGAATAGACACATCTGGACGACATACTCGGAATCACAAATCATTACAAAAGCCATACTTATTTCATTGGTTTTATTTTCAAGGTGATGGGGGGGGAGGAGCAAGGAAATGCAAGTGGTCAGCTAAACATTTTTTTCTCCCAACATAAAACCTCAAACCATTTCTGCTTAAAATGTAGAATGTGTAGAATGTGTTATAAATAAAGGTTAAGCTAATACAGGGTCCGTAGGAATAGAAAAGACAAACAAAATACATGTAAAATAATGACAAGGAAGATGCCGCACCCCTTCTCCATCAAGAGGTAAATGTAGAGAGAAAAAGAAAAGAGAAAACCCTAAACTGACACATGTAAGCATTTTAAGACTCTTTTATGCTACAGTATTATATTACAAGCCTTTTCCGAATGGGCAAAAGTGGCTCAGTACTAAGTGTAACTGTTTGAAACTCACTTTATAAAGACTGTTTGCAGGACATACAGGACGTTAACAAACAGGAGTGCCTCCCATAAAAGACTTTCAGGCGTGTTCATGAGCAATTCCTAATCATTTAAACACAGCTTTGATTTGAGCTGCGTCCCATCATATTTGTGTGTTTATTTTTATTTTTTTAACTTCTGCAGTTCTTAAATACAACTATACCATCACAAAATGGCTGCAGTCAGATGCAACGACAAATTTCAGATTCACACATTCCCTTCCTCCATGGGAGGGGAGATTAAAACTTCTCTTGCAAGCTTACAATAAACCAGAGTTCACTGTTTCGTCTGATCCCTGGCAAACTATGATTTCTGCAAACCAGAATCCCCAGACAGGTCCAGACAAAATAGAAGCTATGGTTTTCTGCAAAACATGTAGGAGGAAGGGAGAAGGTGAAGAGGGAGTTCATGAGCCTGAGGTCAAAAGCTGTTGTGCTCATAACTATGTCTGAATGTAGTCAGTAAAATGAGGGGAACTGAAATTCATAGTTGTAATCTTGTTTATACCACATGGGTGTGCATTTGTACAGAAGTAACAAGGTTCTTCTAACCACAAGGTTAAGAGAAGCACTCCTGAAACAAACAACAAGAACAAAGAACAATCCTGCAACTCACTTTCCTTTTTTTTTTTTTTAACCACTTCAAGACACAACGAGCCCTTGGAATGGGCAAACCACTCATGGTGAAAAACGACCAGGCTCATTACATTTGAGTCTGATAGGCAGAAAAATTGCAGCATTCTCAGAACGACAGAGAAACTTGGCAGCATCTGGTGGGTATATTGCTTGTCAAGCTATTGTTTTCTTCCTGTGCAGCATGTCATAGCAACAAGTACGGTGGCACACAACACCCAGCAGTTAGCACTTAGAACAACAGCTCTCAAACTGGCCACGTATTTTCACTTATAGTTATAGATTTGATTCTTTAAAAAATAAAACTAGCAATTAACTCTCTGGAAGATATTTCATAAATCTTAAATCTTTTAAAAATTACTCTCTAAAGGTTATAAAAGGTTAGTCAAAACTTTTTAATATGAATAGCTTGGATAAGTGGATCTAGTTCCCGGCTGGAGAATTATAGCAACGTATTATGCCGAGGAGGAGAAGAGTCCACAGAGGAATCTGCAAACTACGGTTGGAACCTCAAGGATTCTCATTAAAAAGATTTGACTGCATAGTGACACATCCTTTTTTTCTCTCTCTCCCAAGTGATGTGTCTCACTCATTGGCTTTCCACATCACTTGAAGGAACCGTTTTAGTACTTTATTTACATTCAAAAAGTATTCATCTCCCCCTTTTGTTTCTTCTTCAGCACAGTGGAAATGCCAACAAATCAAGTCAATGGGAGACTCCCTAGCAGAGGTGCAGGACAGCTTTATTAATCTCTGGATTTGTCCAATCATTCCGGATGTCATCCAAATGATTATCAAAATCTACTAGTGTTTCATAGGACCGGCTGTCCAGAAGTGAGGCAGAGATCCTCTGGGCTTCTGACCAGTCTTCACAGTAATCACTAGGAAGCAAGAAAAAAGTAAAGAATTAATGGTCCTCAGGAGGAACCAACCAGCCTCCAAGTCCACTGGAGTGAAAGCAAAGGAAAAATCTATCAGCAATGCATAATGACAAGCAGAGGGTCAGCTACACTACAAACTAAAAACAAAACAAAAAACACTTGTCAAAATGACTCACCCTGAGGAAACCTGGGAGTTACAAGAGAGGTGCACCTGTTTGAAGTATTTGCTAGACAGCCCTCACAGAGCTACAATTCACACAGAGACCTTATTCAGATGCAGTGCTACATCTATGACTTAAGTGTTGCATCAATGAACTCGCTCACTTCACTTCACTTCACTTCCCTCTCCCTTCTCTTCTTCCATCTCATTCACAAGGAGATACAAAGCTTATGCTTCTGTTTTTAACTAGGCACAGTACAGCATTATGTTCAAACTTTGACAAACGGTGGCCAGTCTTAGTAATGGTTTATTAAAAGAGGGCAACTTCAAACCGTGGTTTATGAATCTGGCTTGTTTCAGTGAAAGCTTCTGATCGCCTCCTCCTGCTCCTCTTGGTGGCACCTTCTCCAGCCTGATGCTCCCCTGACATTTTGGACTATGACTCCCAACAGGCTACTGCCAGCATGGCTGTGTTGGCTGATGGGAGTTGGTAGTTCTACTATCTGGAGAGCACCAGGCAGGGGAAGGCTAGGCTGAACAAGAGCTTAGTGTTGCATCCTAACAAGGCCAGTGCCAGGGGTATAGAGAGGCATGGGCCTTAAACTGTTTCACATGCCATGGACAGGCCCTGCACATTATTTGTTCATGTTAGAAAAGTTCTGGCGAGAGCAGAAAACCTTTCAAAAGCTGACTGTGATTAGTTCACAATGGATGCTACTATGGTTCTTTCACATCTGAACCCTCCTTCCTTTCTCCCCCCTGCCCTACCTCCATGCCTAACAATTTCCTTTGGTAATATGTTTCATACACTATGTTGCTGTTCTAAGTTTGTTGGCTTTACAGTTTGAAATATTATTCAATTATTCAAATATTATTCTGAAATTTTATTAGGTTAACACTGGATCTAAAATGTTGTTCTTTATTTATCAAGTTGGTTTGGGGATAATAGCAAAAAACTACTTCATTCAGCTGCCCAAACTGACTCTTCCAGATGTTTCAGAATAGAAGTCCCATCAGTCCCAGACAACCAGCACAGGTTGAAGAAGGCTGAATTAATTCATTGTTTGGATTTGCTGTGTGCTTGTATTGATTGTACATTATATATTTTTGCATCGACTCATAGCCAGCTGCTTATTTTGGAGGCATTCCAAACTTAGGCTTCGTTTCAAGGTAAAATATACTAAATATAAAAATGTAAATGCTGCTTAGGAGCAAAGGTCTGTTCTATGAATACTCACAAGTGCGGGTCTTTGCATCTCCATTTGTTTTCGTGATGTTCGTACACATGAACAGTCGGTTCTATGCACTCCATTGTAAATTTACTATTATCCACCTGATGCAGAACAGAGAGAGGGAACAGAAAGCTCAGTGGCAGAATCTCTGCTTTGCATGCAAAAGGTCCTAGGTTCAATCCCTGGCAGCTCCAAGTAGAACTGGGAAATGTTCCCCTGCCTGAATCCCTGAAGAACCACTGCCAGCCAGTGTAGGCCAGGTATGGGGAACACCTGTCCTCTCTACCTGGTTGTCAGGGCTCTCCCAAGTCCACAGACCCTTCACCAATCCTGCTCTGCACCCTCCTTGAGTGTTTTTGCCTGACTGGAATGCTTCCTTGAATGCAGATCATACTTCTTGCTTGTCTGGATGAAAGATAAAGAGGCCTACTGTACAAAGGCAAAATTCACAGCTGCTGCTCCACCAACTTTTGCATCTGGCTCTTGGAAGGTTACTTAGGAGGGAATGCAGCCTTTGAGCCGAAAAAGATTCCCCACAGCAGTGAGGTAGATTAACCAATGCTCTGAATCTGTAGAAGGGAGCTTCCTATTCAGAAAAGCATTCTCACCTAGACACATACACTGGAACAACCTTACAATTTATGCACTGGAAATGGACCCTTGAAATTAAGTTGGAAATGTGGAGAATGAACTAGAAATGAACTCCTGTTAAAGAAGTGGTTTTCAAACTTTCCACCTTCAGGGAACTCTTTCCAGCTTTTGTCTGCTGAGGAATCCATGATGGTCAGCCACAGACACCTAGCAGGTTGCAAAGGATACTTGGGCATGTTTTAAGGGCACACACTTGTTTAATGCAAGGCATAATTTAGACCTGTTAACCATTGCTCCATGGTGACAGAGTGCAATCAAGAACACACCCAACAGTTTCCCTGCAGCTGTACACTGCAAGTATAAATCCCGTAGTGATGGGGAAACAAACTTTCAAGGAAATAAGCATCTTTATTATTGATTCCGTTTATTATTCAATTAATATGATCAGGATGGCAGCCAATAAAACAGTATTAAAACAATCCACACTAAAACAATAGCTGGTTGCTAGTTCTCAAATAGCAGGGGCCTCAAAAAGCGTCGCTGGCAGTGATCTCAGTACAAAGACAGGTAGCTGTCGAGCAAGGGTGGGGAACCTTTTTCAGTCCAGGGGCCACATTCTCTTCCAAGCAATCTTCTGAGGGCCACCTGCCACTAGTAGGTGGGGCCAGAGGCCAAAGTGGGGCAATTAATGTGAATTTTACCTTTGTAGAATAGGCTACTTACTTCACTCTCAAGAGACCTCTCTCTAGTCTCCACCCAGGCAAGCAAAGTTCAATGACATTTTCCAGCTAGGCAAAAACACTTGAGGAGGGTGCAGAGCAGGGCTGGTGAGGGGCATGTCTTGGAAGAGTCCCAAAGGTCAGAGAGAAAGACCATATCCCCTACGTAGTGGTTCCCAATCTCTTAGAGAGATGGCAGTGATCAGAGTACCCAGGTCGGAAACAGTATAGGGCTTTGTTCACCATTACTTGTCTTCTTGTTTTACTTTAAATAAATGGAAGAAACTTGAGAAACTGAAGGATTTTCTGGAAAACAGTTCTGAAGCACACTGCTTTAGGGTGATGGTGCGACTTCATGGCAGCGAGGGACGGTTGTATTACAAGACTTGCAAAAAACTGAAGCACTTACATTTCAGAAAATGTAATCTAAGCAATTGATGTCATTAGCTATGGCCATGAAGTGTACACTAAATAAAGAAAAAAGGCAGCACGGGGGGGGGGGGGTGCAGGGGAAGGATATTACGTACCATTATGAGGGCTGTGTCATTGAAGCCTTCTGCAATCCTGGAGGCAACCTTTTCAGCAACCTGGTTTGGACTACAAAAAGCACACAAATTACTTACAATTCTGCTATTCTTCAAATCAATCATAATGAAATTGGAACACTTGAATGAAGAGGAGATGATAAGATGTCCGATGATGTGCTCAAGAAGAAACGTTTTATATGGCCTAAAGCAAGAATCAGGAACCTCTGGCCCTACAGATGTTGTTGCACAACATCTCCCTTCATCCCGAAAAACACTCAGCACACTGGCTGGGACTTATTGGACTAGGAGTCTAATGACATCTGGAGGGCAACAGTTTCCTTAACCCTGGTCTAAAGCTAAACCAGATTCGAAATAAACTGATGGTGGCTGGGCACTGCCAGTCCTCTATTCTGTTCACTCACGCTGGCCAACCTCCTGTTCTTGTAACAGAGACATGGGATATGGGCCTCATTGCATCAGGCATTAAGCAAAGCCTAAGAAATTAAAATAAGGCTTCTGCAACCAATCTGGTGCCTTCTGGATAATCTGGACTACAATTCCCATAGCATCAGGTCAGGGATAGCTGACCTACACATTTAACTAAACCAATGGTACCTTAAGGAGCCCTGGGAATTATTGTTTTGCAAGGCCACAAGCACAGCGCTACAGGAAGAATTTGCTACTAGGTGTTTCGTTAGGGTTAGCCTCTGATTCGGTTCTCTTTCTTTCTCTCTCCAAGCCCCTCTCCCTTTATGTGGCTCACGTCCATTTTTGAATGGGTCGCAGTGGCAAGGTGGTTGCAGCAACATACCTGGCATCTTTCAGACGTTCATTAGCTTGATAGTACCCGGCTATTACATAGCTATTCTCTTTGCACCATGAATCAATCTGAAAGAGCACATAAATAAAAAATCTGTAAGCATTCAAAACTCAAAGCACTGGCTAACGTCACACAGACCGGAGGGCAGGGGGTGATAGCTAGTGAATTAGTGGATTGAAATAGCCACTTTATACCTATTAGCATGGGAAAACATGCCTCTCTTTTGAGAGCTGTTGCAATGACAAAATGAAAAATTTTGGGCTGCCAGGGTACTAGGTAAAAAATCTATTTCTCAAATGAAACATTATTGCTGTTAATCATTTCATAAAAGACTTTAAATTTATGTTCTATACAACATATAACTTGCTCTACTACTCCGGTGAAACTGGCCACTATTATGTATATTTATGTTATTTATATTGATAGAATTTCTATAATGCCAAATCATAGAATACAATGGTGGCATTAAAACATGAAACTTTTTTTTTTTTAAAATGAAGGGGTTAAGGTGACTGGCTAATAAAATAAAATAAACAACTTAAAACTCAAAAGTGACGATGCCTGAGGAATCTTTGCTGGAGTGTTCCACAGCACAGAATCAGAAACGCTAAATGCCTGACTTCTAGTTAACATGAGTCGGGCCTCTGTAATACAGGGAACATTTTATTTCCATTCTACAAAATGCGAACTGGTTGGCTACGGACAATCTGCAGAGGAGGTGGGACAAATTCGGGACTCCTGGATATCAGCCCAACCCTCTCATAAAGCTGTGGAAAGCCACCTCGATGAGCTGTCTCCAAGTTCTACTCAGAGGAGAAACACTGAAATTAAATATCCTAATTTAGTCATGCCCACTAATTTCAAAGGATCTATTGAGTAGAACTTAGAAAGATATAAAGGGTTTTATCAAACTATCAATGCAGTGGATGCAGGAGATCTGGGTTCAAAGTTATCACTTCGGTCCTGGATTTAATTGTGTGTTTTTCTGTAAGACATTCGCACAGTCTCAGCCTGCCATGGAGACAGTGATCTACTAGGGGCTGCTGAAAGTGGTCAAAGCAAATACCATGAAATGCTTTTACTAACTGTAAGTGCTATATGCCTGCCATAGCAATTCCTTTCCTTTACAGATAAATTGGGATTTCTGAAGCCCAACCTGGTTGACAGACACATGGAAAAGACAAGCCAGAGAAGGACTTTTATGGAGAAGTAAAATATGACAGCAGAGGTATGCATAAGGAAGGGGAGAGACCATCTTGCTCTTCCTCTGGTCACTTCATTAAGCATGGAAGTGAAGGGGCAAAATGAGTGGAGAGGGGTCTTAGGATGTGTGTAGAAACTTCATGGGGGTGGGGTGGGAAGAGGACAGACGGCACAAGTCAGAGTGGAGGGAACTCCTCATTCTTTTGTCCCCTACCGGCTGTGAAGAATGAAGGGCTGGTGGACTCTGGACTTGCTAGTACTCTCATGGGAGAAGGGGCGAGAAAACTGGTCACCAGCCCCACTCTGAAAGACCCACATTTAAACTGCCCAGCAACCAGGGCTGTGGGCTTTAGCAGGAAGAGCAACATGATCCTCAATTGGTGATAAGGTGCAGATTCTCTTGTGTCTACTCTGCACCTCCACCCCTGCTGCAACAGTCACTTTAATTAGTGAAGATATTTGCATAATATCATTTTATCCTAATGTATCATCTGATCTGCCACAAAGCTTTGTTAAAATACCCAGTGAGAATTAAAGGGGCAAATTCATCTTGGGTGTTATGAGGCAGGATTTAAAGTGCTGCATTTATCCATATCAGATTTTGGCCCAGTTTCAGTGGCTTTTGAATATATCCCCATATTTGCTACTCACAATAAATGTAACTGATTAAGATAATCCAGTGATTTTGGGAGGTGGAAAAACGAGCTAGCAATTGTGCTTTTTGCTGTCAACTACTATCTTTTAAAAATGGGGGGAGGGGGAATTAAGTGGATTGCAGAACATTTTGGATGCTGAATTCCAGCTTCCTGCAAAACACATCAATCTCATGGTTAGCAGAATAATTACAGCCCTGAATTAAACTGTCTAAAAGCAGAACGAAGCTACACAAATAATCTCTTCTAAAAGAATGACATGGATTTATGTGTTTCATTAAATTGTCATTTGCTGGCATTGTTATACTTAAAGAGCCAACTGCTGAAGTAATCATAACCCCCATTTCAAGGGTTTATAGATGCCATTTTAATTGCCAGCAAGTTGAGATCTTTTAACTAAAACTAAACACCCGGATAAAACATTCTTCCTCACAGCAAACATTAAGAAGCTGATCTGAAATTTCCCTTTTGCTATTCTATAGGAAGCTCAGTTTCTATTCAATTTTAGGGGAGCAACAGAGAGAGACAGCTCTGCTCTGGCTTGTTAGCAACAGGTTTTTTTTAAAAGTAACACTTTATTGGGTTTTATAAACAAGGATCATATGAATAACAAATTATACAAATAAATGGACCAAGTCTTCTCATGTCATTTGTACATCACAAAAATAGCATAATAAATTTGCAGGAATATCTACAACATATGCTTCATTATTAGTGGTCAATTTTTCAAGTTCCTGGGTTTGTGAATTGATTTAAACAAAAACAAAGGGGAAATAGGATAGAACAGACTTAGCAGATAACATTCAACATCGCATAGCTAAATGCCTAATCAGGAGCCCTTTTGGTTGTGCTTAGATTAAGTATGAATAATAGTCATTTTTCCTCTTATGTTACCAATGAAACAATATAAAGTGTTGTATATTAATGAGTGTGGGAGCACAGTTCAAAGTGAAAATAAAAATTTATGTTTACATTTTAATTTTGGTCAACCAGATAGAGCCAAATGCTGATGGGAGGTGGGGTCATTTTCAGGAATACTGGCATAAATTAAACCATACCAGGGTAAAGTCATCTTTCTTTATCTGTCCATGTGCCAACTGTAATTTATTTCATAATCTTGCAAGGACGGCTGTTTCCCAAACTGAACCTCAATGTTCAGTTTTGCCCTACAGCTATTTTTTCATATTTGAATGTAATGAAATTTACTTAAGTGTAAGGAAAGACAATTTATAATGGCAATGTGTACACATCACCAAGCACATGTACCTGCCTTAAAACAAGCATTGCCCTACCAGGCGATAAGTTTCCTCATGACAGCTCAGTAGATGTGCTTTGCAGATGGCCAGGCACCGTTGGGAAGTAGTTCTCAAATTGCTCCTTGCAATTCCCAAGAGTTAACTGTCTCATTTGCCACAAGTGCATTTAGTCATTTGTGGCCTTAACACAAATGCACAGACAGCTTTCACTGGGTTCTGTGCATGGCAGCCAGAGGCAATTTTTACTCCCAACAAATGGCCAACTATCAACAAGCTTGGCCTAGTGACCCTTGGTTGGACAGAGGAATCCATTTTAGCCTATTCCCGTGGCATATCTGCTTGGCTCATGTGGTTAATTCATTCTTTGTGGATTGGTTCATTGTGGCTTTAACTGTGTAAGCCTATCATTATGCATGGGGTGGTGGGAGGACTGGTATGTGGATCACCTTCCCTTAAAATAAGGCCTTGTGTGAGTTTTTCAGTTCTCTATTACTACTCTGCAACTCCTTAAGTATTCTTGTACTTTGACAATAACCTTAAAAGGACAGGATGTGAGCAAAGTCTCTTCCTTGGACAAAATAAATATTTCACTGGGAACTTCTGCTTTCTACACTTCCTCTCAATACTGTATCTCCTTCATGCACCTGCTTGGTTGCTCTTATCCTTTAGAGACTTCAATCTTTCTAATGATGGTCTCAGCACTGCACTTTGTGGCTTTTGGCTGGACATATAACCAGGACTGCTGGACCCAAGTTGATATACACATTTCATCTTCTGGCGTTTCTACTATCAATCAGCAAATAGGCTGTTAAATCTGAATGCCACTTACAAAACCACAAGGCAGCACAATAAAAAGTTACGCAAATATGGATAAGCACCTTGGCTTTCTAAGACATCTCACACTATCCTTGATTACGTTTGTCAAAGCTGCCACAAACAATATTTGCATGCCATATTGATTTGCTAATTGATTGAAGTTTGACAAATCCCAACTCAGCTTAAAATGCACAAATACAATTTCTTCATAATTAAATTGTGTGAGGACTTGCAGCATTTCATGAATTCTGCAATTATTTCAATTTCCCATTAAAGCTACAAGCTGATTTTGCAAAGATTTCCAAAGAGCTGCCACAATACTCTGTATACCAAAGTGACTCACTGCCCTTAAAATTCTATGTCCATGGCGCTCTTCATTCACGTTTGTACTCAGCAACACAACTTATTCCATTGCTGCCCAGCCTCCTTTAGATGCTTTTGGTTTAAGTACTCTGATATCAGAGGGGCTGTGAAGAGATATCACAGGCTATGCACTGTCCAGGCGGCCAAAATGTTTATTGTTTTCGATGCTTGATTTATAGTGCACCCACCAACAGATTCCCAGGGTGAATTACAAAAAAGTTTTTTAAAACCACAACAAAAATTAGAACAGGAATATTAAAACATCATGTTAAAAAGCAGTAAAAAAATAATAATCAGCCAGCAAAACTACAATGAACAGCAAGCACTGCAAAAACAATATGAAGAGTGCCCTTCCCAGACATAGCACCCTTCAGATGTTTCGACTACAACTTTCATGAGCCCCAGTCAGCACAGCCATGCTGCCAGGGGTTGATGTAAGCTACAGTAAACAATATCTTGAGGCCACCAAGTTGATAAAGACTAAAGATGAAAAAGCTGGGGGAAATGAAAATATATTTGGTGCCAAGATGTCATCAAGGTGGATGCCATGCTAGCATTCCAAAGTTGGGTTCCCATCACTGTGTAGGTCCTTTCTCTTATAGCCACCCACTGCCCTTAGATGGTGGGAGCTCAAAAAGAAAAGCCTCCTTTGAAGATCTTAGTATACTGTATAGGCAGACACATGTTGAGACAATAGGTCTTTCAAGGTATTGTGGTGTGATGCTGTGAAATATTTAACACAAGGACCTTTGTACATTTAGCAGTTGTGTTGCCAAGGACCGTTGGGCAGGTGCAGTTTTTCAACCCCCATGCTGTCCTGTAACTGGCGAAAGTTCAACTTCTACAAACCAATGAAAAAAGTATAGAGGTGCTAACTTTGGAAGCATAATATCCTCTGTGCTAGATAATGGGAAGGGTTATTAACAGATAACATGGTGAATGAAGAGATGTGGCCAGATGCCCCTGGGAAGGCCACATATCAGCCCCCCTCTGTTGTTTGTCCTCTGCATGCATGTGATATCCAAAGGTATGCTGCCTGATCATCTGTGAATTTGTGTAGAAGGCAGCCTTCCCCAGCCTGGTGTCCTCCAGATGTTTAGAAATACAGCTCCCACAACCCCCAAATTCTGACCAACTAGAGTTCGAGGAAGTTATAAAAAAATCTGGAGGACAGTTAGGGGATGTTATTATAATGGTTCATCTAGTACCGCACCCTCAATTTCTCATAGTGGGTGGATGTTTAAGGAAAGCCCAAAAGAAGCCCCCCAGCAACTGTCTTTCCAAGGGATCCTGCCTCTTCACGGGGAGGTTATATATAGGCCAGCATCCTGTTTCCAACATTGGCCAGCCATAAGTTTTTTGAGAAGCACAGAGGTAGCAGTTGCCTTCCTCATCTGTCCCATTATGTGGCATATTGAGCTATATTGCCTACAGACAGAGAGGCCCCATTTAGTTCTTATAGTCAACAGCCTTCAACGGACATATCTGCCATGAATTAAGGCAACAGACCCCCTGCTTTGCTGTTTGCTCCCTCCCCACAATCTTATATTTAGAAGTATATTACCTCAGCAGTTAAGAAAGGCCGTAAATCAACTGCATCACATGTAGAAGCAAGGCCCCAGGCTTAATTCCTGGTGTTCTCAGCCAGACAATGTCAACAGTACTGAGGTAGAGAAACCAACTGACAACTTCCTATGTTAACCCTTCATTCAGACCCATGAGAACTAGAACCTTACTTTTAGGGGAAGGGCTGTGGAAGACCCCATGATTTACACACAGAAAGTCCCAGGCTCAATCCCTGGAGTCTCCAGATAAGGCTAGGAATGTCCCCTGCCTGAAACCCTGCCAGACAGATAATACTGAGCCAGATGAAGTGAGGATTTGACGTTCACTATAAGGCATAGAAGCTCTATTCACAGGGAAGCCTTCCCAAAAAGCAGCAAACAAGTTAAGGACCAGTTTCCCATTGAGGAGGAAAGAAACACAAGAAGCTGCTTTATATTGAGTCTTAGTACTGTCTACACTGATTGGCAGCAGGTTCCCCAGGGTTTCAGACTGGCAGGAGTGTATGCTTTCCCAGCCGCTACCTCGAGATGCTGCTGGGGACTGGACCAGAAACCTCCTGCATGTAAAGCAGATGCGCTACCATGGAGTTAAGACGCTTCCCCTAAAAGTAATATAAGACGCTAGTCCTCATGGTTGTGAATAAAGGGTTTAAAGGAGAATATGGGAAGTGGCCTTACATTGAGTAAGGCCACTGCTCCATTTAGCTCAGCGCTTACTGACTGGCAGTGGCTCTCTAAGGTTTTAGGCGGGGAGGAGTCTTTCCCAGCCCCTACCTGGGAAACTGAACCAAGAACTTTCTCCATGGAGAGCAGGTGCTCGACCACGGGGTTAGGGTCCTTCCCCTAAAATCAAAGCAAGATACTAGTCCTCGTGGTTCTGAATGATGACAATATGAGGCCTTTATACCGCGTGAGACCCACTGGTTCATCTGTCTAGCTCAATTTACTGTCGACGCCGGCTTTCTGCCCCCCCCACCCGCTTGGCAGCCCCCCCCGGCCCACCCACCAGTGTGAGCGCCACCTCCAGCATGGGCGCCAGGGCAAGGCTGCCATGGAAGAGCGGGATGCAGTCCACGAAGAGCGCGTGCGCCGGCAGGTGAGGCCCCGTCGGCTCCCTCTCCCGGCCTCGCTGCTGCTGGTGGTGCTGCGGCTGCTTCTCGGCCACCAGGAGCCCGTTGACGGCGCAGTGCGGGTACTTGGCGCCGTGGAGCACCATCTTGCAGTAGGCCTGCGTGCTCAGCTTCATCTTGGCCGGGCCCCCGCCTCAGTCAGCACAGCCGTCGCCGCTGCTGTTTCCTCCTCCTCATGTGGCCCCGCTCGGCAGGGGCAGCTCCGGTCTCCCTCACGACCACCGCCGCTGCCCGCTTCCGGCTCCACGGGCCCGCCGCCAAGCACCGGCCGTAAAGCTGGGAACGGGGAGGAGGGGGAGCGGCGCAAAAGTGTCGCGAAAGGAGCCTCTCCAAGTCCCATAGCTGAAGTACATAGGAAGGGTGGCGAAGGCCCTTCTAGACTCATATCTATGGTCTTCTCTAGTTCCGCCTTCTTTACCTCCCGTCATACCCCGCGGCGAAAAAGACAACCTAAAGTTGTTCCTTTTTTTTTTGAACGCATAGAGTTACGGGTCCATTGTCTACAAACAAGGTTGCTCGGTTATTTTTGACGGGATAAAACAGGCAAGAGATTCCGAGGAAACAAAGGAGGAAAACTCTGTATTTTTGGGGTGGCATCTAAAAAGCTAACAAATTTTATTATGGCATAAGCGTGCATCTGATACGGTGGGCTCTAGTCCACGAAAGTTTATGGCACAATTTCTACTAATCTGAAGATGCTACAACACTTTTTGTACTCTCTCTTTTCTTTTGCTGCAGTAGACTTGGGTTGCAATCCTAACGCCACTTACCTGGGAGTAAGACCCACAGAATTCAAGGAGACTTGCTTCTGAGTAGACATTGTTAAGGATTGCTCTGTTACTCCTCTGGAAAGTGGAGAAAATAAAGGACTTTAGCGTAGCTACATTACTACTAGGCGGGATATCTCTCCCTCCCCGTAGAAGCAAAGAGAGCAGTTAACAATGCATCTAATTGAGGTCTTATTTATTGTGAACTGCACTTCGGAAACTTACTCTCCCTGCCCCTCCTAAATAGAAAAAAGGAAGAGTGACACACACACAATTGTCTGAAAAACCACCTTTTAAGTTCCTTTTGAATCTCTTTTTTGCCTTTCCTTCTTCCAATAAAAAAACTTTTGGAGTTTTTGGTAGAGAGCATTCCTACCCAATCACAGGTAGACAACAGTTCTATATTTCTCTATACTTTCTCTATAGCACACTTCACCAGCTCTGTGCCCTACACGTTTTGGACTACTAGTAGTTTAGGGTAGAAAAGACAAGGAGCGACTTTTAGAGGTTATTCACGGTGCGAAGTAAGTGGATAAAGAGAAGATTCTCTCTTTTCATTCTGGAAGGTCAATTCAATGAAGCTGGATGTTCTTGATGTTAACGCGGAAATCACCTCATGTGGTAAACGATACCTGGTTACTTTAAATTTTCCTATATCTGTCTTTCGTCGTATCCCGTCATGCTTCGCGGCAGAAGGCTTTAGGCACCGCCTGGGAGGAGGGACTTCCGCCCTCTTGGCTGCTTGGTCCGTCGCTATCCCATGCTGCCTTGCGTTTCCGCTTCCCTCTCCTTCCCTCTTTCCGTCCTCATTCTCCGGGGTTTAGAGGACACGAGCTGCCTCTGGTTTGTGGTGGCAGGTGAGGGAGGGGCTCCGCTTCCACGGAGAAGAGTGAGGGGGAGGGCCTGTGGCGGGAGTGGGGAGTTGCGGGGAGGAGAGGGAGAAGGAAGGCATCCTGCTTAATTGGGGTTTCCTGGTTGATTGGGGTATCCTGATTGGGGTTGGTGATGGAGAATGGAAAAGATGCTGGTAGTTGCCCTGGGAGAGACGAAGGGGCAGGCAGACAGGTACATGTCTCCTTTGCACGCTTACCTGGGAGTAAGCCCCATTTCACTCATTGGTGTTTAATGGACCAACCCTTATTCAGAGATAAGCCCCGCCGATCTGAATGGTGCTTGCTCCCAGAAACATTTTAGCCCCGCCTCATGCACAGGATGCAGGAAAGTAAAAGTGCCATTGTTTACACCTGTACCCTGAATGTAAGCCCTGCTGAACTTAGTAAGGCTTAATAGCCCAGCCTTATGCATGTGTCTAAATCCTGCATTATGGAGCCTTATTTGTGGAAGTAATCAATGCTGAAAGCTTCTCTGTCCACTAGCCTGTTGAGTACAGTGGGGCTTACATCTGAGTATATATGTTCAGGGTTGAACAGGAGTGGGGTGCTTGTGGCCAGCTAGGTGCTGCTAAACTGCAACTCCTGTTATCCCTGACTACTGGCCATGCATGCAGATGGAGTTGTCCTCCCATAACAACTGGAGGGCTGCATGTTCCCCACCCCTACTCTGGAAAGTAACAAAATGTTGTTACAAATATTTTGGGTTCCTTGCTTTTGGGAAGTTGGGCTGTCAACTTTGGAGATATCCCATAACCTGTTAATAACAGCAATTAACAAATGGTAATGCTTCTCTATGACATGAAAAAATTTATTACTATTATATAATGTATTTATATCCTGCCTTTCTCCCAAATTAGGACACAAGGCGGCTCACAACATATTAAAAATATCCTTACAAAATCCAAAGGAACAAAAACAAACTAGTTAAAAACAATAGCTAACAAACTTAAATACAACAAATTTAAAATAGCATTGAAATAACAATTGCCCTTATAGCAGCCAAGTGGTCAACATTGTCTGCACCTAGTTTTCAATGACCTGTCTGAATAAGGAAGGTCTTAGTCTGCTGGAAGAATGATACCAAGGAAGGAGCCAATCTATCTTCTGTTGGGGGAGAATTCCACAATATGGGAGCAACCACAGAAAATTCTCTCTCTTGTATCACCACCTCCATGCTTCTGATATTGATGATACCAAGATCATTATGATTTATTTGTTAGATGAATTGGAACAGAGTTGCATTTTCCCTCCAGGCTACTTGACAACCTGCTGGGAAGACACACTGGGCTGCAGTCCTATGCTTGTTTATCCATTAAATGTGTGGGATGCCTATTGCCCTTCTTGCAATGCATATATGCAATTGATGCAAATATATTGAAAGCAGAGTATGGAAAATCCCAGGTGTCTGATGTCCCAGATTGTTTTAAAAAGGAGGATGCGCTGCAGAAGCTTACATTCAGTTTTAACTCTGTAGCTGTAACCACCCTTCCCCTGCTTTTTTGTTGTCACCTGTGGGTGGAAGATTTTCCCTTCCAGCTCTTTGTTTGTGAGAGGTTGATTAGTTGAATGCAGAAACTGTTGATAGTCCTTGTGAGAGGAGTTGGGAGTCTGTTGCTTGTTGGTGACTTCTATTCTTATGCCCTTAAGACCTAAGTCTGCATCTTCTCCAAATGTTACTCAGTAGGCTACATTTTGGTTTGCTGGATGGTCATTAGAGTTGTGAGATTCCAGCACTGTATTTTGCAAGAAAGACAATGCTGCAAGAACTGACATGTGGACAGTGTTTTGCAAGAAACTGCCAATAGTACTTGTAACACAGAAGGAAAATTGCATTTTCTGGATTCAGTCTGATATATAACATTATACCTTTTTCTCTTTCAGGATGTTGGCTTCTCGGGCATTTAGTCTTCTTGGCAAGCGGGCCATTTCCACTTCAGTCTGTGTGAGAGCCCATGGGCATGGTAAAATGATGGCTTATCATTACGTTTTTACCCTACCTCTCTTTGAAGGAGCTTAAGGTGGCATACAGCAGTCTTCCCCTTCCCTGTTTTATCTTTACAATAATCGTGTAGCATAGGCTGAGAGAGCATGACTGGCCCAAGCCTATCCAGTGGGCTGTCATGGCTGTGTGGGAATGTAAGCCTGGGTCTCCCTGATCCTAATCCAACACTCTTAATCACTACCCCACCCTGGCTCTCATTTTAGCTTAATTATCCTAAAACTGTTCACATAGGTTTAGTACATTTCAGCATATATGGTGATATTTTATCGCAACAGCTCCTTTAAAATAGATTAGAATGACAAATAGTGACTTGCCCATACAAGTGAGAAAAGCTGAATGGCTTTAAATCTTCCACATGCCCTATTACAGCCTATCGTCTGTTCCATGAATGAGGAACCTGTGACCTTGATAGGAGATAGAACCCAACAACCCCAGCATGGGCAATGGTCAGGGATTATGAGAGTTGTAGTCCAGTAACACCTGAAGGGCCACAGGTTCCCTGCCACCCATCTATTCCATCATAATGACATAATGCTTCCAGAACTAACTTATTTTTCTTGTGGGTCCTCTTGTGTGAAGAACCAGCATGTCTTTAAAGTCTCTGCCTTTCTTAAGAGAAATTAAAAGATGAAACTGCCCAGTGCAAATTTTAGTGTGTGCCCTTCTGCTCTGATACCTTTGTTTGGTTTATGCCATTCCAAGCTTCCTGGGATTGTATCTGTGTGAGACTTCTCTTATATTCCCTGCCAAACAGGTATTGCAAAAACGGAAGATTTCAGCCTGCCAGCTTACGCTGATCGTCGAGATGTTCCATTGCCTGAAGTTCAGTTTACAAAAAGTCTCTCTTCGGAGCAGAAGGCCCTGAAGGAGAAAGAGAAGGCATCATGGACTGCCCTTTCTTCTGCTGAGAAGGTTGCATGTAAGTATTTATGGTTATGATGGGCTGTGTTGGAACAGGGGAAAGCAGGGTGGCAGGCAAAGGTGGCTTGGCTAACTTTAAGCTTCAGCATCTCAATTGCACCCTCTCTTCTCCCCACCTTTCAGTGTACCGCATCAAGTTCAATGAGACCTTTGCTGAAATGAACAAGGGGTCATCTGAATGGAAGACTATTCTTGGTGGGACACTCTTCTTTATAGGCCTCACTGCTTTTGTTGTCATTTGGCAAAGGATGTATGGTAAGTAGTTGGCATTTAAGGAGCATCTTAACCATTAAGGTAGCAAGGTGTCTCAAGAGAGAAGTGCATGTCTTATGATCCCAAGAGTAAGGAGAGAGGTGTGTGTGCATGTGCACTGAGTAATATAGAAGAACTAAGCAGTTACACTTGCAGGAGTATTTGCGCCAACACATGGCTCTTTAAGTCATTGAAGAGCATCATTGCTATGCTCTGGCAATTTACCTAAATCCATGTTTTCTCTTGGGAAGCTGCTTTGGCAATTCAGAGTTGTCTTTTTTTAATGATATGATGGCTGTACTTGAGGCAGCTTAATGGCCAACACAACAGCGTATGGGGCTATTCACTCTTTTTCATGCCACAGGTTCTTGGCTTTGGATCTATAGCAGGATGTGGGAGGCCCTGGGCAGAAAAACACATTGTGTTCATCTTTGTCATAATAGGGACAGGCAAATCTCAGGTGGCTGTCTATCTTCAGGTAGATCTGTAGCTGATCCCCATCTCCCATAAGCTTATAGGGGCAAGAGTGCCTCAGATGGCTTATTTTCCAGACTTCCTTTTAAAAGATGGGGTGTGTATAACTTCACAAAAGTTGTTAGCTTAGCTGCTCGCATTTCAGCTACATGAATTATTGCCATCTCAAGCAACAATAGATCCAAACATTTGTTAAGCTTTCTTGCCTTAATTACTTGGAGACTATCTGATTTGCCATTAAGAGTTGGGCACCTGACTGCTCAGAAAAAAAGATTTGATCAGATAATAGTCAGGTATTACATAGCACAAATTTTTAGAACAGCAAAATATTTAAACATCAAGCCTAATGATCATATAATTACAAGGTGTTTTTTTGGTAGTATCTTAAACAGTGAAATTGACTCTAAAACAAATACAGTGGTACCTTGGTTTAAGAACAGTTTAGTTTATGAACAACTTGGATTAAGAACGCTGCAAACCCGGAAGTAGGTGTTTTGGTTTGTGAACTTTGCCTTGGAAGCAGAACATGTTCCGCTTCCTGTTGAGTGTGTTCCATTTGTAAATTGAGTCCCCTGCTGCTATGGGAAAGCACGCTTTGGTTTGAGAATGGACTTCCAGAATGGATAAAGTTTGTAAACCAAGGTACCACTGTAAATGAATTAGAGTAACTACTTGGTACTGTGCACAATTCATTAACATTTCTGTAGGTTTTCATCCTTTTTACACCCAGGGCTAGCCTACAGTTTCCTTCCTTTGGGAGGAAGGATGGAATGTAAGTTCAGTAAATAAAATAACATTAAATTAGTGATTAAGTAAAAGTATTTAGAAGACAGGCATGGTACTGCATCAGACTGTTTTTTGTCTCAGTCTGTGTTGTCAAAATAATCAGTACGTTCCTGCCTAAGGCAGGGCAAAGGAGCAAACTGTATTTGCTCCTGCCATTCTGACAAAGTTTGCCCTAGTCAGATTTTAAGAACTGAAAACTGCCACCCACATAATCATATTATTGGTTTCATGGGATATTTGTCCACAGTCATTTGACAGGTGTGTCGGTGATTGAATTTACAGAAAGTAATTCCCTTCTGTTTGTTGTGTGCAAACTGACTGGGGCCAGCCCTATCAATGGCCAAAGAGGTAACTTCCTCAGGCAGCAGATACTGAGCAGTAATGGTATCTCTCTGCCTGTTGCTTCTGGATCCACCAGCCACTGCCTCTGTTGGAAGAGAGAGCCATGAGTGCCACACAACCTGTCCTGTGCCTTTTAAGCTAGGCTGCTTCCCTGAGGTGTGGAGGACACTGCTCCATTGCCAGTGCTGGAAGTAAGATTCAGTGGCTAGTCTAGTTAGCTTTGGTACTTGGAATGGGGGTGAGTGAGCGAGCGCCATATGGTCAGTGGAAGAAGCAGGACCCTTAGGGTGAATGGGGCACAGCCCAACCAACCTTAGTTTGCCTGCTTTCTTAGAACCAGTCGAGGGGTGGCCTTCCTGTCATTAGCTCTGGCTCCACCTAGTGTTGGTTCCAATAGGCAGCAGCCTCCACTACATCTTGCCCTTTGCTTTGGGCAGCAAAAGGCCTTGGGTGGACCTCAGCTGCCATGCAGTAAATTCTGGGAACAAATATCTGTTAACATAAAACTAGATTTGACTGTCCTCCACCAGGGCCAGGGCTTTTTCAGTGACAACTCCGACCTGGTGGAATGCTCTGTCCCATGAGACTAGGGCCCTGCAGGACTTGATCTCCTTCCGCAGGGCCTGTAAGACAGAGCTATTCCACCTGGCCTTTGATTTGAATTAGCCTGATCCCTTATTCCCCTTTCCCTTTCCCTTTCCTTTTCCATGAAGAAACCCTTCTGGGACCCCACACTTAAGCTCTTCCTTGGTCTCCTTGCTGGCCCTAGTAGGACCAACTTAGTTAGCCCTGGTGATCATTTGATGTCTACTGACTGGGGTTTCCACCCCCCCATGACCCCTGAATTTTAGAATTTTATTGATATTGATGCTGCATTTATGTTGTATTTTATGCTGTTTTAATACATTTTAATAAGTGTTTTATATTTGCTGTTAGCTGCCCTGAGCCCGTTTTTTAAACCAGGAAGGGTGGGGTATAAATAAAAAATTATTATTATTATCTGGCCGAATGATGTTTGTGAGATGTTTTCATGTTTTAGTTCTGAAGGCAGAGCAGAGGTGGCTTTCAAATGTACCTGGGCCAGATAATGCTGAGAGAGCATTGAGCTTTTGACTCACACAGAGCGTTGGCTCTGTTCAGAGGTCTTAAGCCAGATAGCGGTAGTTGGATGCTAAAATATAAAGTCTCTGAATGACTTGCAGTCATCAGATGTGCAGATACTTTTTATTTATGATTATGAATCTCCTTTCACATAAGCCACAAAACAATTTACAAACTTACAATAAAAACAACTAAAGTAGTTTTCAAAACAGTACCAAAAAAGAAAAGAAAAGAAAAGCCGAAGAGAGACTTAAAAACATCCTGCCGGAAAAAGCTTGTTGAAACAAAAAATTATTCAGTTGTTTGCAGAAAATACAAATGGAGGGTGCCTGTCGTATCTCTACCAGGATGCTGTTCCACAAAACAGTGACAGACGCACTTGAAACCCCTGCTCTGAGTTAACTGTGGAGTGGGCTTTCATCTCTGCATCCTTTTGGGAAGCAAACAAGTTCTATTGTTTCTAGGCTTGGGGAAAGCTTGGATGGAATGTACTTCTTACTGTTGACAAATTGGAGATGTTGTGAGCTTATTGTAATTTGCTTTTCAATTTACAGTTTTTGGGCCAATCCCTCGCACTTTCACAGATGAGTGGAAGGCCATGCAGACCAAAAGAATGTTAGATATGAGAGTGAACCCAATTGACGGCTTCTCGAACAAGTGGGACTACGAAAAGAATGAATGGAAAAAATAAATGCACTCCAGGGATCGCCACTCCTGTTCTGGCTTGAAATGTTGAAACCATTCCTTCATCTCCATGTGACCTCGCTGCTTCTGTGTATGGGGAAGAAAATACCCCTCTATTGAAAGAGAAACCTTTAATAAATGTTTGGTTTGCTTGACAAGTTTATTCTGCTTTGTTCTAGGGTCCAAGGAAGTATAAATTGTCCCTCTTGCTATATTTTTAGATGTAAAATCTACACAGCAAGATTAAAAGTTGAAATTAAAAAAAAAAGGACTTTGTGACCATCTCTTGGAGATAATCTTTTTAAAAAATATCTCTGGGGGATTCTGGCTGCTGAAATACCAAATGCATCTTATGTGATCCAGAAACTCTGGAAGCATCTAGTGGGCTGATGCATTTTTAATAAGCACTTAGTGCTTGGAGTTGTCAAACCACGGCAGCAGAAATGGCCTGGCAAAAAAACGATTCTGTGTTCTTTTGAGTGCATGCTGAAAGGCAGGACCGCTGCATGACACGTCAACATGCACTGTGCCACAGATTGTAATCAGCAGGGAAACCACACCTCTCATTCTGCATAAAACTTGAGAGTGTGCAGAACACAATGTAGGCAATAAATCTGCCTTCAACGATGCCTATAGGTTCGGATGCTGCTGCCCTGAATTAGCTCAAGTTCTGCACCAAGTGCTCAGCAGCTTCTGCTACTGCAATGCAGCAAAGGTGTTGCCTGAGGGCTGACCTTCTGGAAGCCTTCCCAAAGCTTGGCACCACCTTACCTTTGGCTTCCCACAGGGTATGTGTGTGGCTGAGCTGGCAAAGGGAGCTGCTTGATGGCAGTGATAAGTCACATTGGTGGCAAAAACAGATATGACTGCAGAATATCATTAACTTGAAATCTACATTGCACTAGATCTGATCTGTGTTGCAATCTGCCTCTACAGGCAGCTTTAGATGTCACGACACTACTTTGAGAAATCCATCTGTGAATGCTAATTCATAATACCTTGGTCTCTTTAGTGTAACTTGGAAACAATCCAAGATAGGAGCAGGCCTAGTGACAGATAATCTCTAGTGCTGCTGCTGGAACTCTCATACCTGCTTTTTTTTCTGTGGAGGTGGTTCATGCAGTCAGTTGGGAGTCTCTCCCCCTCCCCCCCCAAAAAATTCCTTGGAGAATCAATGCACAGAGAAGAGGAAGGAGTGGGAGGGGTCACTCCTGCTGTTCTTCCCTTGACCTGCATATTGAGCTGAAAGTGAACACGACTGATGCTTGATCATGCACAGCAACAAAAGCCATAAGCTACTATAGATTGCACGGGCTGTTTGCATAGCTGTAAAGGTTCACATCTGCAGAACACAGCTGCGGGACCATGAATGATCCTGTCACTATTGTGGATGGGAAAGATTTAAATTTTGTCGCATTCAGGGGATGTATTGACATAGGTGTGAATCAGCCCTATCGGCTCTTGTCAACCCCCTTTATACTATTTTATTACATCTATACCCCACCTTTCGTCCAAGGAGCTCCAGGTTGTGTACAGGGTTCCCCTCCTACTTTCTCCTCACAATAGTCCTGTGAGGTAGGTTAGGCTAAGAGACCATGGCTGGCCCAAAGATAGCCAGAGAGCATGGCTGAGAAGGGACAGGATTTCAGCCCTAGGCACTTAGCTCTTAAGTCTGATGCTTTTAACCACTACACCACACCACCTCTCATTGTGAATAGCATTTTGCAGTTCATTCCCTGGTGCTAGGGATTTGCAGGTCAGCTAATAAGCTGGCTGCGTCCCTTGCAGCCTAGCAATATACGGATCGCTTGGGTGGGGGAGGTTACCCTCTGAGCTGAAGTGCTTTGCCCGGTGGCTTGTGCCTGAAAATAGCACTAGCTGCCTTCACTGACTCTACAGTCGCTGACCTGCTTTCTAAATCCCTGTGAGAGAGGCCGCCTGGCCTCTGCAACAGCACCCTCTTCAGGTGAATCCTGATAATGTACCAAAACAGAGGTCCCTTTCCCGCTTCCTTTCTTTGGAGGCTGGCTTTGGAAAGATGCAAGCAAGGAATGAATGAAGGTATCTTGGCCAAAGAAAGCATGACTGCAGCAGAAAGGAGCTGATGCCTCTGCTGGCGGATGACGCTTTGCTGCCGTCTCCGAGGAAGCTCCTAGCACGACTCCAGAGCTGCCGAACTGGAGCCTTTACCTGAGAGGTAGGAATGGGCAAATGACAATTTTACTTTCTCATTTTTCCAAACCTAAGTTCAGTTTTCCACATTTTTGCATCAGTTTGCAATTATCTCTCTTTTTTAAAAAAGCTATTTTTTAAAAAACATGTAATTCCAGCCTGTTCCCCCCAACACATTTTTGTATGCAAAGTATACACATTTTTGCAAAAAACAAAACAAAACCCCAATACAATGCATTTTTTTGATTTTTTTTTGTACATGACTTTTCTTCCTTTATACATAAAAATGTAAGGGAGGTTAAATGCAAGCGGGAGGTGCTTCACACAGTGGTTTAGCAAGACACTCTGTGAAGTGCCTCTTCCCTCCTTTAAAAGAGAAGGGGGCTAGGAGCAAACTGGTGGGGGGTGGGGAGTCAAGGGGATGGGTGAGGGGTAAAGGGAGCTGTGTTTGGTCAGGGGTGGGGGAAGGGTGGCTGGCAAATGGGTAGGCAGAGTTGGCGGGCAGAGCAAGGGGGGGGGAGCCCCTAATATCAATATATACATTGACTCACAGAATGCAGTGTCTGCGCACATTACTGGGCAGGGTAGCTGCGGTGCAAAATCCAGAGAAGTGCAGATTTTGAAGGGTTTCTGTGATAAGCAAAGTCTGGGGCATAGCTGTTTCCATTAACCCCCCCCCTTCCCCAAGTTTGTTTAGGGTGATGTTGATTTCCCCTCTTTTTGTCTTTTTCAGTAAGGCAGAACCTCTGCATTGCAACAGTATGTTAGACATTTCGCTTGGCAGCAACAGCTGTAGCACAGTGACTCATGAAGCAGAGATCGGAGGGGAGTGTGTGTGTTTGTGTGGCAAGCATCGATGCCCCACACAGGAGTCCGCCAGCAACTGACCAAGTATCCCATGTCACAGCTGGTGACGTAAGATCTGCAGATCTCGATGAGAATCCCGAGTCCCCATTCCTCCGTGTCCTGTTGTGACCCTTAATATTAACGCCGCTGCTTCTCTCTCTGTGTGTGTCAGTTCCTGCCTGGTACTCTTTCCTCCCACTTCAGATGCAGCAAAGCTGGTAAGTGTACGGAGATTTCCTGCAAGTCCCCACCCCATAATAACCAGCGCATGCTCTTCCTGGCCCAAAACACTCCTCAGCAGATAAACGCACCTTTCGGAATGAGTCAGAGGAGGAAAGCGAGTCTCAGTTATAAGGGTGTTTCCCTCCCTTTTCTCTCCTTATGTTTTGCAGTGCCCTGGTGACAAACAGGGGAACTGGAATGAGCAACTGGGGGTTTTGTGTGTGAGCCTGCTTGCTGAGGAACTCAAAAGTGGCATGGGGACCGGTATGAGTAAGGTACAATCCTTAGGGTTCATTGCAACTTAGCAAAAAGTGGGATTGGGGGTGGTAAGGTGGTAAATTTATTTATTTATTTTATTTGTTGCATTTATATCCCACTGTTTCCTCATTAAATCCCCACCACAACCCTGTGGTGCAGGTTAGGCTGAGAGGCACAGGGACTGGTCTTCAAGGTCACCCAATGAGTTTCATGGCTGAGTGGGATCTGAACCCTGGTCTCCTGGGTCCTGGCTGGACACTTGGCCAACGAGACTGCACTAGCACGACTGGGGCTGATGGGACTTGGTAGTCCCCCAAAATCGAGAAGGGACCAGGTTGGGGAAGTCTGCAGTGAAGCAATTTATGTCAAAGAAATAAGGCTCAGTTTGAGCGGTTGTGGAGCAGCTGGTGGCGCAGCAGGGCCGCACCCCAGGGCCAAAGTCCAGTCTCCTGCCCTCCCCCACCCATGACGAGGATAGAAGCAGCAGCAAACAGGCACTGTATGCTGGGGCTGAACAGGCTTGATGCTGGCCATCCCAGTGTCCTCCCTTCCTTTCCTTTTTAAAAACACTTTATAATCTTGTGGCAGCCAGGTAGGCATGTAAATATTTATTATTTTAACCTTAAAAATTGGCTCATTATTGTCAGGTATGTGTTAGTACCACAGCCAGTGGCGTAGCGTGGGGGGTGCAGGGGGGGCCGGCCGCACCGGGCGCAACATCTGGGGTTAGGGCAAATCCACAGGTTAGGGGGCGCAAATTACTTGCCTTGCCCCGGGTGCTGACAACCCACGCTACGCCACTGACCGCAGCAGCAGGAAATTCTAATTATCCATTAATGTGGCTGTGATTAAGTGAGTTTGAGCATAGGCAAACTTGGCCCTCCAGATGTTTTGGGACTACAACTCCCATCAACCCTAGCTAACAGGACCAGTGGTCAGGGATGATGGGAGTTGTAGTCCCATAACATCTGGAGGGCCAAGTTTGCCTATGCCTGATGCACACTTTCATATTTTTAATCGGGGTGGCAAAACCAACTTTTTGGGTGGCTTTTTGCTTAAACACAGGGGTTTTCAAACTGTGGACCTCCAGTGGTCCAGAAACTTCACTCAGGTAGTCTTTCAAAGCATGTCTGCATTCAGTAGTCATATTGATTTTCAATTGTATGTTTATTGCTTCTTTCATTAGAAATTCAGTTTGATTGATTGCAAATTGTAAATCAATAGTATTTAATGTAAAAAAGTAAACACTGAGCCAGTGTGCTCAGAATGTCCAACCAGGACCTGAAAGACCAGGGTTCAAGGATCTGAAGCTCGCTGGGTGACCTTGGGCCTAACCTACCTCACAGGGTTGTTGTAAGAATAAAAAAAATGGAGAGGGGAGGACCATGTTAGCCACCTTGAGCTCTCTGAAGAAAAAGAAAGTGGGATATAAATGCAATAATAAATAAATGAATAAATGAATGAAGCAAGCAATAAAAATACAATTAAAAACATACAGTATCTAGCACAGTGCATCACAACTGCTACAACAGACAGAAAAAATATTCAGCAGTAAACTATCAGCAATTTTCACGTGGTCCTTGGTGAGCATAGCTCTAACATATCAGGGATGCAGAGGTAGTTGTAAGCCATGGAACAGCAGGGTAGAGGGAAAAGAAGCATTGATCATCAGCTCCACGATTGAAGCAGCACACCTGATCATCGCTGTAAGACCATTAAGTCCATCGTGTAAATTTATCCAGCTGCTCCATCGAAGAGTGCTGGATGGAAGGATGAGCTGAGAAGCTGCTAGTTCGATTTTTCGCGACACAAGAAGACCCCTGTTAGATCAGGCCAGGGGCCCACCAAGTCCAACACTCTGTCTTCACAGTGGCCAACCAGATACCCCAGTTGGGAAGCGAGCGAGCAGGACCTGAACACAACAGCACTCTCCCCATTTGAGATTCCCAGCAACTGGTACAGTAGTACCTCGGGTTACATACGCTTCAGGTTACATACGCTTCAGGTTACAGACTCTGCTAACCCAGAAATAGTACCTTGGGTTAAGAACTTTGCTTCAGGCTGAGAACAAAAATTGTGCTCCGGCGGCGTGGCGGCAGCAGGAGGCCCCATTAGCTAAAGTGGTGCTTCAGGTTAAGAACAGTTTCAGGTTAAGAACGGACCTCTGGAACGAATTAAGTACTTAACCCGAGGTACCACTGTAATTCAGAGGAATACTTGCCTATTGCGAAGAATTTACAGTGGCCCCAAGCAAACTATATTCCCTCAGCCTTCCCTGTCTGCACGCAATATGAGCGATAACAACAATGGCCTACCTTGCAGGGATGTTAGAAGGATTTCTAAACTATTGGTCTGTGTCTCCAGAGAGCTCCCAACTCCCTACAGTTTATTTTCCCCATTTGGTGAGCCTTCCACCCCCCTTACACTTGCTGCAGCCTCCTGTTTTTATCAGAAGACATTCAGCAATATTGGTTGGTATTCTTTTTAGCAACAACAACAACTCACTGAAGAACTATTTGTTTAACATGCAGCTGGGTGCCTGGCAGTGGGATCAGTTTACTGCCTGTACAGGGAAAGTCACAGCTTTACTGAATTAAAATTAGATCCTCTGACCCAGATAAAAATGCCTGCTCAAATCAGAGACTGCCGACCTCCCTGTTTCTGGATTGAAATAATTGCGGACAAGAGGTTTTCTCAGCTGGCTGGCTCACTTTCCTGCAAAGGTAGGCAAGATATTCAGCAGAGGCAGGTCTATTAGGGCAAATGGGACACTGTCCCACCAAACTCAGCCTGCTCCTACTTGCCTGCATTCCTACTTCCAACCAGACCAAGGAGGATGGCCCTGCCTGTCAACTTCCTCCTCCTTAGTCTCAATGTTGCCCTTTTAGAACACAGCAGGGAGGAGGATGAGGGCAAAACTAGAATGAGTTGGCTCAGTACAGTAATTGTCTGCATCTGCCACTGGCTCTGGCTCCACCTACTGTTGGGCTCCCAGTCTTACACCCTACCAGCTCCTATAGGCACCACCCACCATGGAGGATAGCTCATTGTCATAATGCTTTCTACAAAATCTGACTCGTTCAGGTCCTAGTCTGACGTGATAATCACTATACCACACTGCCCAAGTTTGTTTTGTCAGGAGGCAGGCAGGGAACACAGCACGTTGTAACTGTTCTTTGCTCTTCAGAGCGGGAGGAAGGAACGAGAGAGAGGGGGCCTGTTTTGTTCAGATGTCTCGAGCTAAGCATTTAAAAATAGCACCCTCGTGTGTGCCTGCCCTGGATGCCGTCTCTCGTAGTGGAGTTGTTTGGAAGATCTGCGCTGGCTGCTATAGAAACGCAAAACAGAGCCATGGCGTCTCTGGGCCACAGCAGACCCTTGCTGCTGGTGGGAACCCAAGCGTGTCTGTTTGAAAGGTCACGCCGGGAAGGCCTGATGTTTAGGTTGCCTGGCGCTTGGTGTGTTCCCGGTGAGGCTGGCAGTGGGCGAAGGATTCAGAATGCTGCTTTTTAAAAGGCACCAAATCTATGCCCCTGTCCTAGAACTGAGCTTGCAGTCCTCTCATAGGAAGCTGGCATAGATAGATAGATAGATAGATAGATAGATAGATAGAGATAGATATGCAGAGTTGGGTCATGTGTGCATCTAGCTCTGGCTGATCTACACTGACTGGCAGTAGGTTCCCATGGTTTCAGGCAAGAAGCTTTTCCCTGACCTACCTGGAGGCATGGGCGTATTCCGGGGGGGGGGGGGGGCTGCCCCCCATCAAGTAAAACAATAGAAATACTTAACTAATCAATCAATCAATCAATCAATCATGTCAGTTCTGCCCCCACTAACGAAAGTCCTGCCCCCCCACAAAAGTCCACCCCCCAAAAAAATCCACTACGCCCATGCCTGGAGATTCTGAAGGCTGTATCTGAGACCTTCTGCATGCAAAGCAGATGCTCTGCTTCTGAGCTACAGCCCTGCCCCCAAAATCTGTTTAGAATTCTCTCCTCTCATGCTTTCTTCATTTCAGAAGCCGAGTTTGGGGATTGGGAAGTTACTGCAATGGTTAAAGAATTGGGTGGGGAGGGGAGGAGAAATCCATGTTGGTCTACTGCAAATCATTCAGTGATCTACCAGTAGATACTGGTCTTCATTCTGTCTACCCTTAGCCAGCTCAAGTGGATTGACCTGTGCTCTGGGAGAAGGAATTGGGGAGGAATTTATTTCCATTCACATTTAAAGCTGAACTTATCAAATTCGCACTTCCTGAAACAATATGAGAGCAATATAAAAATGAATACATTAATGGACATATACCAAAATGCATTATGAGCACTTGCATGCAAAAACATGTATATGACTCAAAACTGGGTGCAAAAATGTGCCAGGAGAAATTCTTCCCCAAATGTGGATGAATTTCCATGAGATTTTTTTTTTTTAGATGAGATGATTCTTGCAGAAATGTGGAGAATTGAATTTAAGATTGGAAAAATGAGAAATAAAGAGAACAAAAATATGCAGATACTTCCATCTCTTTCCCTCTAAAAAACATTACTGTTAAGCCTACCCAGATGCAAAGAAAGTGTGAATTTTAATTATTATTTTTAGTAATTTAACTTTCTGTATGTTTTAAAATATTGTAATATTTTCTTTTGTTTTCTTGTTTTATCTTTTTGTAAACCACTTTGAGGTTTGCTTGGTTTTTTTTTTTTGTTTTTACAATCAATTTTATGAAATAAATAAAATAAGCCCAGGAGGATCTTGTTCACAAGGGACAGTGCCTGCAGCACTAATTATTTTTCTTGGCTTATTTTCAGGTTGTGGGGGGGCTGTACCTTGGAAACATCAGGGGTAAGTGTTTTTCAAACTCTGCCTGTCTCCTAGCAGATGTTGATTATGAGCAGTGTATGTGGCCTCTGCTTCCTCCTCCTCCTAGAATCTAGTACTGTACAACTGTGGAATGATGAGCTGGTTTCATCTTTGCATGGCGTATGTATTGTTATAGATTTAGGAGTATTATTACTTATCCCCACCAAGACCAGGAAGTGTCCTACTAACATAGATTGATATAATGCAAGAGAACCATGTGTTTCACAAGGCATATGTGCCATTTTAACATACAGGTAAGTTCTGTGCCATTTTGAAAAACAAAATTTCATTTTATGATTTAGCATTGCTTTTACTTTGAGTTACATATGGGGCGGGGAGGGCACAACAATATTTTCAGTGCTTCTAAGTGTTATGTACTGAGGTTCTCACCCTGGGCCAGCAGGGGGATACTGTAGATAGTTTTCACTCAGGTCCACATATGCAAATAAGGGATTGAAAGTGATGTTCAGTGATTGGATAGTTACAGAAAGTTGTTACAGTTGCGTTGTAGTGGAGCTCTATATAAGCAGGCTGGCTGAACCCTTCAGTTCAGTTCAGTTCAGTTCTGGCCTGTGATTAAACAAGAGCTGTTTGAAGAATTGCTGTGTCGTCTGCTATGTCTACCCACTATTTAACACTAAGGGTCTTAATCTGGGGCTGGATCCATCCACATGATTTAATATTATAAAGCAAGAGTGCATGTTCATAATTTCTTCATAGTTAGTTTAATCTGTAGTTGTTTATTTGCATTATTTATACTCCACTTATCAAGTGCTTTCCCCAAAGGGTCTTATACAGTATTCGAAAAGAGAGAAAACAAGAACAAAAATGCAAAATAAAAATCACACAACCAACTAACAGCATTAAAAGCCAACCAGTCCCCTTGCAAACACGTACACACTAGAAAAAATAATAATAAAATCAGACCACATATTAGAATCAACAGATTAGATGGTGGGGACAATCACAAGACAGAATGCCTCCTGTTGTGAATGGGAAAGACTGAAGTTGCTCCTAATATATGTGTGGGTGGACTGCTGTGGTTTAATTCAACAGGAGGTGGAGAAGTGGATGAACAGCTAAATAATGTCCAAATGTGGGCAAATCCTTGCTTAAGAACACAAGGACCAAAGTAGATGCTACACATAAGTGCCAATATCTTTACCTGAGGGAGATTTTGGATTGGCTGGAAGGGAAAGGGTCAAGTCCTCCATAGCACTTTTCTGGTGATAAATCTGCAGCTTCCAGAGGCTGCTTTTCCCTTAAAAAAATGGGAGAAAGTTTACACACATCTTTCTATGCAACATCTTGTTTTGGTCTTTGCTGGAATAAAGCAAGGGTTATGAACTAAAGCGCCTTTTTATTCATCTTGGATCTTAGAAGTCTCTCTTTCTTTCCAGATTCCGAGGACAAAGAGAATTTAGTGAAGAATGGGATCACACACATCTTGTCGGTGCATAACAATGCTAAGCCTGTGCTGGAAGTGAGTACGGAGAGGAGATCTGGAGCATCTTGGATCATAGCAATAAGGAGGAATCCAATTACTTAAAACATGACAGCTGGAAAATATGTAATATGCTTTAGGGACTCCAGCTGCAGGCCATTTCCCACCCCATTCATTCATATTTCTTTGGCTTCCCCAGCTAAAATGTGAATGCATGAAGGTAATTATTTCTGTGGTGAAGTTATGAAATGTCACAAGCCAGTAGAGGGCAGTGCAATTACAGAAATGATTATGCTAGGTTTCCCAACCCTCCCTCCCTCCACATACTGTGCATTAACAGATCTTGCTTTCAGTTGTCTTGTAATGCCAGATTTGCCTAGTGTAGGGATGGGGAATCTGCATCCCTCCAGATGTTGCTGGACTACAGCTTCCATCATCCTCGACCACTGGTCATACTGGGGTGCTTTAGAAAGAATGCAGTTGGTCAAGGGAGCCATGGACTCAAAAAGGTTGAGAACCTCTGGACAGTGGCGTAGCGTGGGGGGTGCAGGGGGTGCCGGCCGCACCGGGCACAACATCTGGGGGTTAGGGTTAGGGGGCACAAATCCACGGGTTAGGGGGCGCAAATCCACGGGTTAGGGGGCACAAATTACTTGCCTTGCCCCGGGTGCTGACAACCCACGCTACACCACTGCCTCTGGACTATCCTCAGGGTCCCTTCCAACCCTGTGATTCTATGATTGGCAAGCATTTCTCCAATTTAAATGTAGGCAATACTGAGCTAGATGCGCCAATTATCTGACTTGATACAAGGCACCTTCTGATGTTCTGATGCAGCTGCTGCTAATAGCAGTTTACTCTGCTTCCCTGATGTTTCCTTACCTGATAATTTCCACACTTTATGTGATACTTCACACAGCCAAAGAACCACTTCTGGAAATCTAGCAGCTGTTCAGTGCTCATTTCTGTGTTAGCTGTTTCCAGGGCCACACTAACACCTTGCATTTAAAGCACTGTGATGCCACTTTAACAGTCATAGTTCCGCCAAAGAAATCTGGGGTGGTTTACTAATCAACTCCTCTTCACAGGGAACTCTGAGAATTGTAGCTCTGTGAGGGGAATCAGGGTTCCCCTAACAGCTCTCAGCACTTGAACTACACCTTCCAGAATTCCTTAGGGCAAGCTATGACTGTTTAAAGTGGCATGATAGCACTTTAAATGTATAGAGTGAATGTAGCCTAAAAGACATGTTAGAAATCAGGATGGAGAAGCTAGCATTGTAACCAGTAAAACTAATGAAATAAACCGCATGACTGAATACAGCTGTAGAGAGTTGCGTGTGTGTGTGTGTGTACTGATGGTGCTGTTCTGGGTGGCTGAATTTGCCCAGGCGATACATGCTGCTTTGCTTCCCAAGAAAATATAGTATGTATTTATTTAGAAAATGAACTCCATGAAAGCCATTTTCTTGGTAAGAGATACTGACTAATGTCATCGAGGGGGGGGGAAATCAAATGCAGGGAGCAAAAACCGCTCACCAAAGCCGCAGCTGCTTGGACCGCATCCCTGCAGACTTGCCAGACAGATGGCAAATGGGCGCAGAGGTCTTACAACATGATGGAGTGAATGAGGCCAGAGAGAAAAGGGGAACTGGAAACACACGGGTGCATTGAGCAATTTGTCACTCTGGCAAAAAGAATTGCAGAGTCAAGCTCCTTTCCCATGCCTAGCCCTCCAGCAAATGCTGAGAGAGTGTGCATGGGGGTGGGGTGGGGGGGTCCCATCTCTGGTAGTGAGCAGGGGTGGGAGAAAGCTTCAGTGGAGAATAGTAATTAATCCTGATGTGTATTGTTGTGTGATTGCCTGGGAAGGATGGGGTGGGGTGAGGACAGGAGAGGGAGAGGTTAGCAACTGCCTGGAAGATTTTACTGTTGCAAACGTGTTGCAACACTGTCCGCAAAAAGTATTTTCGATACTAGTGGTGTTGTGTCCCCCCCCCCCCAAAGCAACAACCTACGTATAGATGAACCTAGTTGGGAATGACTTGGTCCAATAGAAAACAATCTGAAAATTGTGCAGCAGCAGCAGGTAGACTCAAGTTGGATGAGGCCTCTGCTCTGTGGTGTGCTTAGCTTGATGGTTAATTTGGACAATATCAGTCCCCTCTCTCTTTTTCTGCATCTGAACATAGGAAGCTGTGATATGCCAGCTCCAACCCTGGGCTTCTCCAGCCCTGTATTGTCTACTTAGGCTGGTGGCAACTATCCAGGGTCTTGGGAAGAGAGAGAGCTTTCTCCACAGTCACCTGCCACCTGAGGTCCTTTCAGCTGGAGATACAGTGGTACCTCGGAAATCGAACGGAATCCATTCCGGAAGTCCGTTCAACTTCCAAAACATTTGGAAACCAAGGCACGGCTTCCAATTGGCTGCAGGAAGCTCCTGCAGTCAATCAGAAGCTGCGGTAGCCCCATTGGACGTTCGGGTTCCAAAGAACGTTCACAAAACTGGAACACTCACTTTCAGTTTTGCGGCGTTCGGGGGCTAAAATGTTTGACTCGCAAGATGTTCAGGATCCAAGTTACGACGGTATTCAGGTTTCACATTTAATCTGATTTGGTGCTCTTGCACAGCAAACCTGTTCCACCATAGCATTAGGTTTATGGGGATAAGAAAAGTGATGGGAAGATGCAGTGGAATGCCTGGGATATTTAACTGTGATTCCTGCATTGCAGGGGGTTTGGACTAGATGACCCTGGGTCACCCTGGGATCCCTTCCAAATGTGCAATTCTATGATTCTAACCTCCCTGAAAACAAATCAGAATGAATGCTCAGCAAGCAGTTGATGTTGCTTAGCACCCTTGCAGACCTAGTGCAAAGAGATCAGGGAGGGTCGATACTAAACTAACAGGTCATCTGACAGCAACCATCTTCATTGGGGCTGATTAAAGCATCATAAAACAGTGAGCAAGGTTTTATGTTTCCTAGAACTCTTCCATCAGGCTGGCTGCATCAGATCAGAGCTCTTCCATCAATCTGGTGCAGAGGGTGTAATGCAGATTTGGGGCATAATTACCTGTTATGCTGGGGCTCTGTAAAGGGAAAGCATCATAGGGGCACAGTTTGAAGCAGGGAGCCCTGGAGCACCTCGATGATCCAGAGATAAAAATAGTGCTGTTTTCCATAGTGCCACAATTATTATTTTTCAAATGACAGCATTTTAGAGTTGTCCAACAGAAGTGCCCCTGAACCTGGATGGGTTACTATGTCTGCAAATTTTACCCACTTCTGTGGGTAATAATAATAATAATAATAATAATAATAATAATAATAATAATAATATGCCTCTCATCTGAATGGGTTACCCCAGCCACTCTGGGTGGCTTTCAAAAGGGAAAAAAATGTTGTGGCCATGTTTTGATTCCCCAAACGTGCCTGGTGGTGGAGGGAGTGAAGCAGAATCTGACCCCAGAGCTGGACCAGGTAGTCTCCAATTTAGTCTAAGCCAAATCAAGCTTATTTTACAATGCTCTGGTCTGAACTGAATCTCGTGGTCAGTACACATTTTTAAAATGGAGAGCCAAGATAATGAGTTGTTTGGCTCTTAATCAGATGAGGTTGTGCTAAGTGCAAATAACAAATCTGAGGTTACGCTGAGGACTATCACAGAACAATAGCAGATGTTCCCCCATTTGTGTACTGTGCTGTGCCTTCAGCATGATGTGGAATGCACAAGTCCCTTGTAAAGTTTGTCTCTTTTTTCACAGGACATGACCTACCTCTGCATATCAGCCTCAGACTCTTCGAATCAAAACCTGTAAGTTCTCTCAGGGTTTTCAGCCTGTATACAATGCAAACATGCTAGCTTTCTTAGAGAGCAATCCAGTTTTCCTCACTTGTTGTTCATCAGAGAAACCAGTTTTGTTTACAACACATTGATCCATATTATGTTAGTGCACGGAGGAGAGGTGGGAAACCTCAGGCTGGGAAACCCAAGCCTCTCCCTGGCCATGGCCTCATTTCCTTAGACCACATCATTCACTCATTGACTTTGCTTGAGTGCTTAAGCTCGAATTTGTCCTTGAACTCTGACACTGCCCTTCATTTCGCTGAATGGAAGATAGTGTGAAAGTGTGTAGAAACTAGCTGTCTGTAAAAAAGGAAAATTCACATTTGTTGCTCCACCCACTTTTGCCTCCAGCCCTGCCCATCACTGGAACGTGGCCCCCAGAAGGCTGCTTAGAAGGGAATGTGGCCCTCAGGCTGAAAATGGTTCTTTACCCCCAACACAAAGCATGATCTGATGTCTTTTCTTTTATGGGCACAGGATTCAGTGTCTCAATGTCAACTGAAAAGCTACCCCCTCAGATGAAAGGGCATCTTCCCTGAGCTAAAGGTTCCCTCTTACTGAGGGGACTGAGAAGCTTGAAAAGAAAGTTCTGGTCCTGCAAGTTTTTTAGGGGTGGTGGTGGAGGGGAGGGTGTTTTGTTTATTCCCTTCCCTTCTTATTTCTTTTTCTTTCAATCATAACATGCCTCTAAGCAATGGGCCACAGGAAGGAAGTTTTGCTCTTAAGGGGTTATTTTCTGCACATTGCATGAGACTCTGAATTTCACAATCCTGGTGAACTTAGAAAGGTTCCCCCCGCCAAGAGTCCAAATGAGACTGGGTGACTTGGAATGACCCGTAGTTAGTGGGCTGAAAGTGGGGGTTGTGACCCATCACCACCCACTCTTGCTTTCCAATAGGTTTTAATGCCACACCTGCAAGATCACAGCCTTGGTGATCTTAACCACAGCCTTAACCACAGCCAGCGTGGTGTTGTGGTTAAGAGTGGTAGACTCGTAATCTGGTGAACCGGGTTTGCTTCCCCGCTCCTCCACATGCAGCTGCTGGGTGACCTTGGGCTAGTCACACTTCTCTGAAGTCTCTCAGCCCCACTCACCTCACAGAGTGTTTGTTGTGGGGGAGGAAGGGAAATGAGATTGTTAGCCACTTTGAGACTCCTTAAGGGGAGTGAAAGGCGAGATATCAAGTCCAAACTCCTCCTCCTCCTCCTTGCAAATTGGTCCAGAATGATGACTGTACCATTTTGTACATTCACAAACTTGCAGTGAAAGAGTGGAGGAAAAACCATGTGGAGATGCTTTAACCATTCTGATCATGAGTGGAGTAGGGCAGATAAAGGGTGCTATGTCTGATCATGATGGAAAAGACCCACAAGTAGCCTCTGGCTCTCACACTTCCTCCTCTTCTCCTTCAGCCCTACCACCAGGAGACTGGAAGCTTCTCCCCCGCCATGTTTGTTGTGTCTTCCAAACTGTGGTTAATCTTAACTATAGCTTGTTTGATACTAGCCAACTTCCAACCAGGGGTTATGAAACATTTTATAATTCATGGCACAACAGGTGCTACTCCTGTAAGAAGAAGAAAAACAGAGAAAACTACACACTGCTGTAGGGTCATTTATTTATTTTAATAATGCATGTACCACTTAATATGTGTTTGGGTAAAACAGGAATGCAGCATGAACTGCATATTGTGGAAAGTTGCTTGTTTGCTATGCATCTGGACATCTCCTAAGATATCATAACCTAATTTTACATGATAGTTCCTGAGATCGAAGAGTGGGTTATTGTCTATGCTGAGATACAATTGGGTGCCATTTGGAATCAAGATGGTGGACTTGAACCTTTCAAAACTGCACTGATTGTAACCACTGATTTCAAAACTGCACTGATTTTAACCAAGGATTTCAAAACTGCACTGATATTTTAACCAAGGATTTCAAAACTGCACTGGTTTTTTAGAATTCCTGAGCAACAATGGGTATGAGGTTGCTAGTATATCTTAAGATCAGTTAAAACTAGCCATCTCATCAGAAAAACTCACTTAAAATGCCTGAAATAAAAAGTGTGTGCATCCTGCGGAGAAGAAAATTAATTATTATTACAACAACAAGAACAGCAGCAACGAGTGGTGTAGCGTGGGTAGCCAGCTCCCGAGGCTGTGGGTAGCGTGGGTGGGTAGGAGGGAGGGAAATGGACAGAGTACGCATGCGCATTCAACTGCCTAATGGTGTCAACATCACCCAGGATATTGCAGCCTCAGAGATAAGAAAAGAAGAGTCACTCTGTTGTATGGAAAGGTCACTTTCTGATTCTCATGGAGAAGCCATTTTCAATGGAGCCCAGGGACGAAAGTGGGCAGCTGTATTGAGGCAGCAATGGGTATTGAAATTTTGCACCCCTGGCAATGTTGTGTGCGGGACAACTGCCCCATGGCTCCCCCACACTACACCACTGGCAGCAGCAGCAACAATTCCATTTTGACTTTTAAATAAACAACAATTCTGCACTCAGGATCTAAAAATAGATTACCAAATTGAGAGGATTCATTACCTCGTCAGCCACTTCTCATCAGGCCAGAGTGAAAAAATCAAGAAGGGGATTTTACAGTACCTGAGTGTTATTTCTGTGAATGGAAACACCTTTTGTTGAGGTGTCAAGGACCTGGGATGAGTCTCCTTTTTCTCAGCATGCCTCAAGTTTACCAGGCTTATCATCAAGCAGGAAATGTGACTGCCTCGTACAGTGTTAAGTGCCTCTTTACTGGCATTGCTTCTGGCACTGCCCACACCTTTGTTTGGTTTCATTTTTCTTTCATTTCCTTTTCGTAAGTGAAGGTCAAAGGAGGTGCTGTCAGTTCCTTTGCCAGCATCAAAGGAGTGGCACTAAAGGGTGAAAGGGAAGGGGGAAGGGCAGGAACGTGCACAGATCTGACTGCAGGTGCAGATAACTCTCAGCGATGTGATGCAGTGATCTTGTGCCCCTTGTGTGCAGACTTAGGAGGGTGCAGGCTTGCACAGATGCCTTATACTTGTTGGCATTGTCTCGGTAGACAATGGAGGAGTGCACCGCCTGCTGTGGCTGTAGAGACTGATATAGGACAGACATGTTTTGTTGCAGCTGGGGCAGACAAAGGCATTTAGTTGTGCTGCTGCAGATGCACCATGGCATTTCTTCTCCCTGAGCACTTCACAGTCATTCCTCATTTGGTCACTGCTATGGATACACGACCTGTCTGTCTGTCTCCAGGCACTGCAAGGGATTCCCACAGGGCAGGGTTGATGTTGCCAGCCTTCATGTCACATTTGCAGACATCTTTGTAACACAGAGTTGGTCTGTCAATGTGCCTGGAGCCTGAAGTCAGTTCCCCATAGAGCACGTCCTTGGGGACTGAGTCTTATACTGCCTAATTCTGTCTTATACTGAGTCAGACTGGTGGTGGCTCCCCAAGGTTTTAGACAGGGGACTAAAACCTGGAAATGCTGGGATTAAACCTGGGATCTTCCGCAGGCTACTCATGTGCTCTGCTACTGAGCTACAGCACTTCCTTTCTTCATCCGATCATCAATCCATCTATTCCAGCAGCCACCTTTTCACCAACCAGATTCCTCTGGGAAGCCTACAAACCTCTCCTGCAATTGCGTTTGGCATTCACAGCTATACTGCCCTTGGACAGTATAGTTCTATAGGTTCTATTTAGCTACCAGCACACCTATGAGCCACTGATAAAGCTCATCTCCTCCATGAAATTGTCTATTTCCATTTGAAAGCCATCTAAGTTCTCCAGATGACCAATTTATTCAGCATTCTTCTTGATTGGCTTGCACAAAGCTAATGCAGAGGTTAGACTTGGTCTGGTCTTTATTGAACATTCATTCTGATATGTTTGCAGGGCGGTTATATGGCAATGAATGTTCATCTTGATTTGTTTGAGGGGTGTTGTTACACCTTCCCATTAGTCATTCATTCATTCCATACTTCCCAGTGCATTTCCTTGTCACTTTTCTAACTTTCAATCTGTCCTGCAACATACTGACAATATGAAGTCAGTTGCCACCATCACATCAAGTGGTAGTGAGTTTGTGAATTAATAATAATGCATTGTGTGATGAAGGACTTCATTTAGTTTGTTTAAGATCTACTCAGTTGGATGACCCTGAGTCCTAGACCAAATCTACACCATACATTTAAAGAAGTATCATATCACTTTAAACACTCACATTTTCCTCCAAAGTATCCTGGGAACTGTTGTTTGTTAGGGTGCTGACAGTTCATTTATTTATATTTTATTTATTAAATTTCTATGCTGCCCTTCATCTGAAGATCACAGGGCAGTTTACAATATAAAACACACAATATAAAGCACGTCAAAGCAAATTTCTGCTAATAAACACATTTTTACATGCAGTTTTTACTCATGCCCACATTTTTGTGAACAATTTCCCCTAATTTAATGCATCTTTGTATCGTATGTTCATTAATACCTTCATTTATTTGCACCCTTTCCCCTAATATATGCATTTTTGTAAACATTGTTCCATTGGAGAACTGCATCACAAAATTTTGGGTGAGTAACAATTTTTGAAGGATAGCTGTGATTTGATTCACATGCTGAATCAAATTTCACCTTCATCTCTAGTTCAGGGCAAACAATTCCTAATTTTTCTTCTTTGCTCTCAGGATACAACACTTCAAGGAGTGCATCAAGTTTATTCATGAATGTCGGCTACATGGAGGAGGATGTCTCATTCATTGGTGAGCTGCTTTTCTCTGCCTTTCCTTTTCAGGATGGGGAGCACACTATAATATATGTATATGGACATTTATATATCTCTGGAAACCTGCTGGCAGTCATTCCTAAACTATACATACATACTCAACTGATCTGGCTCCCTTAACCTTGCAGGATGATTTTCATTCAGGCTCGAAACAATCGTCGTCTGAAAAGTGGCAGCGTTATGGGTTTTTCCATGAGTTATCTTATCTTTATGGGAAATGAAATAGCCTGAACAATACTAAGGCAACACATTGCAGATGCTGAATGCCAAAATGATTTAGGTTTAACCTCAAATAACATTTTAATTGACAGAGCACTTCAATCCTACAAACCAGTCAGCCATCTTTATCTGCTCTCTGTTCCAAAACACCACAGAGTCTTCACTCTGGTACATTTAAATACTGTTACACCAGCTGTTCTGGAGGGGAGGTTTCAAAGAATTCCCTAATGTCAACATAAATGTCCCTGTGAATTGGGAGAGGAAGATTCAACAACTCATGCTCTTATGTATTGCTCTTCTCCTCATGATATACCTAACATTCTTATTGGAAATTCCCAGGGCATTTGGATGCATTTTATGCTTCTAGATCACAAGGCATTCACCTCTTCCAGGATGGCTAAATACCTACCAGGGATGAATTTTAGCAAACTCACAATTCTGTTCTTTGTGACTGGTGTTCTACAGTACAGTACATTTACTAGTAATTTTATTGTTATGGTTCTCTATTTTGTATGCTTTTATTTTATTTTATAAATTTGTACAAAGTTTCTTTTTTGAATACTGGTCATTGATCATTATAAAGAGATTGATTGATATACATACATTTAGGTCACACAAATTTGCTAGAGTTTAATATAGGCTGAGATAGGAGAAAAATAAAGGCTGCAATCCTATCTATGTATACTCAGGAGGAAGCCGTATTGAATGTAGCGGGACTTCAACCACTTCCAGGTGACAAATTTATTGAGCATTCAGCTTGATTTGTTTGCAGGGAGGTTAGATGACACCCGGTAGTCACTGATAGTCCATTCTGATTAGTTTGTGGGGAGTTCAGATGTTGTTTCATCAAGGAAACATAATCCCACACTTTTCTGTGCATCTTCCCATTACTTTCCTTATTTCAAAGAGTCTAATTTTTGTGTGTGCAGAAGCTCCAAATAAACTTCCCTTGCACAACTTGAATTTGCTGATATGTGATTCAATCCCACCAGAAAATAGCAACAGCCTGGAAGCATCCCTGGGCTGTGTTCATACTCCTGTTTGCTGTGCACTTACGTGATTCCAGTGCTGGGTTTTTCATCCTTGCTCACACAACATTATCCAAAATGCATATGTATCTCTTGTTCTGTGGTACTACTGTTTGGCACTGTAGTTTCTCAAACGAGCGACTCGCTGACTGCAGTCCTTAAACTGTTCCTAGTTCATTTCTTGCCATGGGGTAAAGACATCTTTGCTCTGTCAGTGCTCCCTGGTGTGCACACAAACAGAGATGAATTGAAGCTGGTGCTGATGTGAACAGTTGTAAGGGGGGAGGGAAGAGGTGTGAAATGCCTGGGACACAGGGAACAACTTTGTTGAGCTCTAAGATGGTAAAGTGAGCATACTTTTACATTAAGTGGACATGGATAGGATTGCACTGTCAACAACCTTTTGCTTTCCCCTAAAGCTGGATGTTATCGTTGGAATTCTGAAAGCACCAATGGCTTGAGCTAAAGAAGCAGGTCTTGCTTTTGTTCCATTCAGCTAGCACTGAAGGATTAGTTTGGCATGCTGTTGCAGTTTTTAGCTACCCCTCCCCAAAGGATTCCTTATGCAAGCTGCAGCAAATTTATTTAGATTTTACAAACCAGTCAATGTATCATGTGGATTGTGCAGAAACCATTTGCAGAGGGTGGGGCTGGAGCATGAAGATACCCGCTGCCGACTAGACACACTCCTCTATTCTGCCTTCTTCGTTTTGCCCCATTCTTTGGATCCTAGCCAATGGCTTCATTAGCCAAGTAGAGGCTTCAAAAGGGCGATGAGCCACTCCACTCTCACTGTCAAATCCACTCCCAGCATCTGTCATCAACCATGTCCATCATTTCAAAGCCTTTTCTCCCTGCTTGTCTCTCATTTTGATAGCCAAGAGTCACACCAAGATCATGTCAAGTTTTTATACATGTAATGGTTTTTTCATATTCATATATATATATATAATGCCCTTGTTTTAACAATATGCATAATTGCTTTATATGCTTTTCTTGTAGCCTGCCTGCTTTTATTGCATCTCTTTACCCCTGGCCTTTGACACCTGAGACATGTGTTTTCAGGACCCACCCTGTGACTGCCATTTGTTTTAACTGTTTTTAATGCTGATTTTTAAATTGTTGCGACCTGCCCTGGCACCTGAAAGTGAAGGGCGAGTCGGGAAATTAATACCACTACTACTAATAATTCTGAAATTGCTTTGATATGCTCCATGAGAAGTGAGTCATAAAATTAATCAAATAAAAAAATCATGTTTAATCCGTGACCTCTGCCTTTATGGCATTGTAAATCTATGTTGTTGATGCTGTGGGTTCTGCCACATGGCAGTTCATGGTGGAGTCCGTTTTTTGCAGCATCTACACAACAGCGCCCCCATCATAAGGCCATCCTATATCCTCCCCTTCCATTTCATCTGGATTTACTCCTTCCGGAGTATTCTTTTTCTAACTTACCAAATTTCCAGCAGAAAAGGTAAATGAAGAAATAATATTGCTTGGCATTTTGATGAGGATGATGTCATATGGACACTGTAAAAAGCTTGCAGCCCTGAGTAGAACAGAGTCCACAATAAACTGCCATTAGAAGTACCCTGTGAGAACAGGCCTTTTAAGTGGTGGCCCCTTGTCTGAGCAATGGTCTCTTGAGGGAGATGTACCTGGCACCATTTTTGTCAGTCTTTAGGCACCAGGCTAAGCCCTAACTGTTTACCCAGTCCTTAGATTACGGTAATTAATTTTGCCTGTTACAGGGGTGCTCATCTTTTAGTGGGGTGGATAGGACTTTTCCTTAGTAATACATTGCTGGATGAGCATTTTATATATTTTATATTGTTGGTGGTTTTAATTTTTCCTAGTTTTACATTGCTATTATCTGTTACAGTGGTTACAAACGCTTCAGGTTACATACGCTTCAGGTTAAAGACTCCGCTAACCCAGAAATAGTGATTCAGGTTAAGAACTTTGCTTCAGGATGAAAACAGAAATTGTGCTCCAGCGGTGGAGCGGCAGCAGGAGGCCCCATTAGCTAAAGTGGTGTTTCAGGTTAAGAACAGTTTCAGGTTAAGTACAGACCTCCAGAATGAATTAAGTACTTAACCTGAGGTACCACTGTATATTTTAGCTAGTCAAGTCACTTTGAAACTTTTAATGGTATAAAGGTATTGGTAAATGCAATAAACAGCAACAACAAAACACAATAACTTTAAACTGTTGTAAGCGACTCTGCATATTACACAGGCAGGCATTGAACGGATGGGCAAGAAATCTCTAAATAAATAAATGAAGACTCAAGGATTTTGAAAGCTAATAATAAAGTCAAGAAAATATGAAAAGCCCTGCTGGATTAGGCCAGAAGTCCATTGAGTCCAGCATCTTGTTGTCATAGTGGTCTATCAGATGCCTATGGGAAGGCCATGTGCAGGACCTGAATACATGCAGAATCTCTCCACTTGTGATCCTCAGCAACTGGTATTCAGCAGCATACTGTCGGTGAAAAGGGAGGTAGAATAGAGCCGTGGTATTTAGCAGCTGTTGATAGCCTTATCGTCCATAACATTTAGGTGACAAAATGCAAAACAGTACTTGATAAGAGGGCATCGATCTTGAATTCCATGATGCATGAATGCATGTACAAACTTGGGAATATGTCCAAGAGTGGAGGGAGCAAGACTTGGGGGTCTTGCACAATCCTAACATGGGTTTTCTTCACTCCTGTTCCTAATTGAAAACATTGCTCCTTTATTTCCGCTCAACAGCTTAGCTGGAGTGTCTCGCAGCACCACCATCCTGGTGGCCTATCTCATGACGGTCACTAACTTTGGCTGGGAAGAGTGCCTGACAGCCACCAAAGCTGTCCGTTCTTACGTGAGCCCCAACTTTGGCTTCCAGGAACAGCTTCAGGAGTATGAAGTCACTCTGCTCAAGGAGGTAAGGCTTCGTGCTTCTGGTCTACTAACCCAGTAGGCACTTCAGAGCAACATTTACAGGCTCATGTCTTCAGAGATAGCTGAAAGTTAGCTCTTTCCTTGCTCCTCTCTCACACAGTGATGAAAGAGGGATCAGATTCAGTTTGCACTGATAGGCAAATCTCCCTAATTCACACTTTCTGAACAATGCTTGTACCAAAATACAGCCATCCTTCGAAGGTGTCCTGGACCTAAGCTGATTGTTGAAGAACAGTGAGACAGCAAGTGAAAGTACTTTTTCTTTGCAACAAATGTTTTTCCCCCCAGTGCCCCAAGGAAACCCAGTGTGAGCATGTCTCACAGCTGAGACTGTCCGCAGGTTCCTCCTGACTCCCAACATTTATGGGTCTAGTGCCCTGTGCTTTAACTTCCCTTCTCAGAAAGTTGTTGCTTTCTTTTAAAATAAAGAACCTCCAGGATATTCTGAGAATATCCCATGCTGAGGAGTGGGCTGAAGGAGAGTGGAAAGATGAGGTGGTGCTGCACAAGAAGGCTTTCGGAGAAAAACGTACCAGTTTGCAAAAACTATTTGAGCCAGGCATTCCCCCAAAGGGCACAAATTCAGCTGATTTGGGCATCCCCCATGAATTCAGCTGACTTGGGCATCAGGCATGACGCCTCGCAGAAGAGGGAAGGATGTTTGGTTGCTGAAGATATGAACTGGCCCTTTTCACTCTACTACTGTTTGTTTTGGGGCATAATGCAGATCTGTTCTATGTGAAAGGGCAGGGTTGGGAAACCCCAGGCCAGAGGGCCTAATGTGGCCTCTCTACCTGGACCTCGGAACTCTCCCCAGACCATATCCCTTCCCATGTCACACCAAGGGGTGTAGTGGTAAATTGTGCAGGGTCCCTTCATGGTAGTCATAAACATTATACAACCTTCTAAGTTTATACAACAATCTTATAATTATACAATAATACTAATAAGGGATGCATTGAAACAATCAATGCAGATCCCTGTGTTGTATTTCAGCTAGATCTACTATTTTCTGTGCACGTGTGTGGGCAAATGATTTGGACCTCATGGTTTCTGTGCTCCTAAATGCTGAAGCTTTGGAACATACAGAAGAACTCTTGTTCTTCCTGAGTGCCATTTCCAGAGTGACCCTAGGAGTGATCCTCAGTGGCTGACTCACCTCCTTTCACTGTGGCTCCAATCAGCACAAAGGATGAGAATACTTCTTCTCAGTAGCTAAAAAGCTCCCCTTTTATGCTGATTTGGTAGCTATAGGATGCTGGAGACAGGGACCCTGCCTGCTGCAGAAATAGTAACGGGTCCGTCCCTGATTGCCTTTGTAGTCAGCTTGCGGGCTTCCAGGAGGCAGAGGGTGGGTTGCAGAGAGCAAGAGAGGGGGTCTGCAGTGCACAGGTCTGCTACAGTGCAGTCTCGGGTTTTGTGTGGGCAGGGGAGCAGTTGGAGAGCAAAAGAAGCAGTTTGCAGGGGCCTGGTCCAGTGGAGGAGAGAGAGGAAAGCCCATATGCTATTGTAATGGATTGATTTGAAGTCACTTCTGCACCAGGTAAAGTAATTTTAGCACCCCAATTCTTCCCCCCGACCTGTCCCTTATTTTGCCTGACCAAAGGTGGCAACCCTGACCTTTGATATGATTGAACAGGGCTCCTCTTGCCTCTCGAAAGTGGCAAGAACCACTTTCACTTTCAGTTCTAAATGAAAGTCACTCTGTGCTGCAGCTATATCTGTGGGCGGAGACTGCGAGACTTGGGTGTGGAGGACGATGTTCTGCTCCACAGGGAAAAGCCAACCAGCTTATCTCTGGTTTCTCTGGCAGTTTATGTATTTAAAATATTTTTTGAGGCTGGCTTCCAACTGACAAGCATGTCCAAAGCAGCAGATAAGAGAAATAAAAATAGTAATATCATTGTGCTTACCCTCACTGTGAAGATTTCTAGGGACAGGTGCTTCCCTTTGTTTGGTTTTCTTGGGAAGGAGGCTACTGGATCTGGTGACCCCCCCCCCCCACTTTGCAATGTTTGCATTATATTTACAGGTACACAGATTGCATGTAGGTGGAGACACAGCTTAACCATTCCAGCAGACAGCCACTCCCTTATCAGATATCCAGGAAGAGAGCCAGAAGCCTAAGCTACTTGCAGAGCCCTCTTGTCTATATGGCTTTCTTAGGGTTGTCTCCACTGAAATTAATAGCCATGGCTTTCAATGGGTAACTGAGTATGGGTATGCTGCCCAGAACCTATTTTGCAGAGAAAGCAGAGAGTTTAACATTCAGAGGTCCTCGAACATTTTTGGGCTCAGGGGTACATTTGGAAATCTAAGGAATTGTTGTGGTTGCACCACAAAATACCCATTTCACAGAGGAAAAACTAGGAAAGCTCGGAACCTACCAAAAAGCAGGCAAAACATCACCCATTCAAGAAACAGACAAATAAATAATACACATTAAAAATATCTCTAGAAAACAGGCAACTTCCCTGAAAGCCAAAGACTTAGTAAAACAAAAAAACAAGTCTCACGCAGGATGCAAGCCAAGCAGAGTCCCCCACCCACCCAAGCAGAATGACACTTGACTTTTGCCGTGAATGCAGGATCGGTTACTTTGTGGCAGTTTGGGGTTATGGATCACATTGTTTACTTGCAAGTCCTTGATAGGAAATAAACCAAGTTTCCTTTTTACTGTGTGACTAGCTAACAGCATTGCACCTCCGCCTTGAAACAAAATATTGCATGCTTTCCTGATTAAAAGAATAAAAGTTGTGCATTAGATTTCCATGGCCCAGAGGGCAGATATGTTATTACATGCAATCTTAAAAAGAAAATCCCACTGGAAGTCCCCCAATAGGCTGGGGGTAGCCCACTTAAGGACATGAATGGTCAGGGGACCATTAGCACGGCTGTGCGTGGGAGGTGACGCTCACAAGGCATCCTCCCTGCGTGGGGAATCAGCTGTAAGGGTTATGTATTCATTATTTCCTAATTCTTTACTCACATGGCTTTAGGTAAGTTCCTGCAACTTTTATTCTGAGCTGAATTGAACACACAGGGTGTGATTTCCCTGCCCCCCTGTTTAACTAGCTCAAATGTCTTGCTCAAAACCAAACAGCAATGACTCTGCATTTAAAACACAGCTGCTGCTTTTTAATATATTTTTTTAAATTGTCATATTTTTGCACAGCAAGCAGACAAGAGAGGAGGGGAGAAAGAGGAGATATTGAGTAGGACACTAATAATAGCATAAGGCAGGGGATACAAACCAGAGAAACTGCTGTGGGCAATGACAACCTCCCCACTTAGGTGGCTATTTGAACAATGTAGTGAGAATCCATTTGCAAACTAGACTACAGCATTCACTTGTCATTTCATCATAATTGGATAAGGCCATGTGCTTCTGACATACACCTGTTAGGCCAGTCTTCCTCATCCTGATACCCGCTGGACGCTTAAGACTACAACTCCCACTGGCCCCCAGCCAGTAGAAGCTGATGGGAGTTATAGTCCAAATTATCTGGAGAGCACCAACTTGGGAAAGGCTTCACTCTGCCAATTGGTTTTACCTGCGTCGCCTGCATTGTCTTTGCTCATCCTTCATATCTTATGCAGCTTCTCCGGGATTTTGTCTTGACAGTACAGGGCCTGGATTCAGCAGGAGTATGGCAAGAACCCACTCAGTGACCAAGAGGACTTGCAGTGCTTACTTTCCCAGCAAGAAGAGAAAGTAAACCAGCAACAAGGTGGACTCAGAGAAAGTAACTGGATCAATGCCCCAAGCCAAACTAGCTCTCAGCCACATACCACCTATGACAGCAGCTGCAGCCACAGCCGGTGGATGAATAGATAGCAAGAGCTCATTAAAGACTTGGAAGAACTCTGCCTGTTATCTCTATTCTGACCCACGGTGAGGAGTGAATAGATGAGCTGCATCTTGGACACGTTGTGGGTGCATTTGGCATTGCTCAGTGGTTCAGAGTCAAACTCACTCTATTTCCCACCCCCGCCTCTGCCACAGGCTTGTTGTATGGCCTTGTTAGGTAGCATCTGTTATCTCTCTTTGGGTTGCGCCCCTGGTAGTCTGGATTAGCACAGACATTGGGGGCTTTCTGAAGTCAATGAGAGAAAGTGAGATGATGGTTTAGAGCCAAAGGTGAGGTTTCCAGGAAGAGAAATTTGAGACACAACAACATTGAATCTAGCATGATGAGCAGATGGAAGTTGACTGGCTCATTGGTATTGGGGGTGCTTTCCCAAGTGACGTGGAGGGCTTTTGGCTTGAGTCCAGGCATTTTCATTTCTGAGGTCCTCCAGACAATCTGTTTATTGAGCATTTAATCTGATTACACAGAGCTTTGGTTATATCCAATCTTTATTGAGTATTCATTCTGAGTTCTTTGCAGGGAGCTTATACCACAATAAACATTCTTCCTTATTTGCTTGCAGGGCGTTTACAAATCTCCTTGTTAATCGTCCATTAACCACACACTTTTCAAAGCATTTCCCATCACTTTCCTAACAGCAAAAAAATCAGTTTCGTTTTTTTTTTTAGGTGGATTTGTTGCACTAGGGCGGCAAGAGGGCTTTAATCCAACAGGGCTTTAATTGCACAGAACTAAATTTCCAGGACATGCTTGAATCTTGCAGTGCTTTTCATTCAGAGCCAGCAAAACATCAGCAGCTTGGTGTTAGCTGTTGTGTATTTTGTTGCTGAAAGCCATATTCCAAAATACCAATAAATATAAAATGCACTAGAAACAATTCTTTCTTTCTTTCTTTCTTTCTTTCTTTCTTTCTTTCTTTTTTTATGCGATTTCCATACTGCTTAATATATTTTAAAATATCTCTAAGTGGTGTACAGCAAGTTATAGAATCAGAATTGTGGAAGGGGTCACAAGGATCATCTAGTCCAACCCCTTGCAATGTAGGAATCTTTCATCAAATGTGGGGCTCAAACCCACGACACTGAGATTAAGAGTTCCATATTACAAAAATATACAGTTATCATATGAAAACTTATATTAATACAAAATTACTAATAAATATAAACTGATATCAGTTCTTTCACATTTGGACATACCCTCTCAGCCGCCTGGCTGTCACCTGGAATGCCACCCATTCACCTTGACTCTCATCCAGTGCCCAAGCAAAATCTCAGCTCTCCTAGAGAAGTCTCATGCAGAGAAGGGTTGCTGATGACATCACCCTAGGCTTGTTTTTTTTATGGGCAGGCCCAATGTAGATGGAGATTCCTCAGGCTGGCCACTACTGTGTCCCATTAAATAGCCAGCTACACTCTTCACATGCAATTCCATGTACAGTAGGTTTGTTGAGTTTCCCAGGTGGTCCCAAGAATGGGGAAATCATATTATTTATGATTCAAGTTTATTTCAGATTCAAAGGTTGGGGAAAGAATATTGGCGTTTTCCCCGTCCCTAAAATGGTTTTTATATCACTTAAATGAAAACCTCACTTTATGTGTTATTTATTCCAACAATTTCCATACTGCTTAACACTGTAAAGTGGTACCTCGAGTTAAGTACTTAATTCATTCCGGAGGTCCGTACTTAACCTGAAACTGTTCTTAACCTGAAGCACCACTTTAGCTAATGGGGCCACCTGCTGCTGCCGCGCCGCCGGAGCACGATTTCTGTTCTCAACCTGAAGCGAAGTTCTTAACCTGAAGCACTATTTCTGGGTTAGCGGAGTATGTAACCTGAAGCATATGTAACCTGAAGCGTATGTAACCTGAGGTACCACTGTAGTTTTTAAGTGGCATGCAATGAAATATGACAGTGATCGACTCATGTAAAATATTACCCAGGTCAACCTTACTTTCTATGCATTTGTGCCAGGTACAAAGCTTGATTCTGTTTCGTTAGATAATTAAAAGTCTATTCCTGGTAAACGTTTCTACCAGCAGAAGTCAAGTCACATAGGAAATCCCATCTTCTATCTTATGCTTTGTGTGCTGAAAGCTACAAATTATCAGTTGAACAAATGTTTCATAACTTATTACTTTTATTATTCCCTGGTGTTTACAACTGACCTTTGGTTCAGTACTGACTAACTTTTAATGCTAAGACAGGAGGAGATCCTTACCAGTTTCACTTGGGAGACCAATTATTAAAATGGCAAAGTCTGAAGAGGTTGAGATTAATCCAGGGCAGTGGCGTAGCGTGGGTTGTCAGCACCCGGGGCAAGGCAAGTAATTTGCGCCCCCTAACCCGTGGATTTGCGCCCCCTAACCCGTGGATTTGCCCTAACCCCAGATGTTGCGCCCGGTGCGGCCAGCCCCCCCTGCACCCCCACGCTACGCCACTGATCCAGGGTTTCCCCCCAAATTAGCATTAAGGTTATTCAGTCTCAGCTCCTGTGAAAGCTCCCTCTTTCCAAGGTTATAGCATAATGCATATATGCTGGGAGGAATACTGTTAAATCCAGCTTTACATTCACTTATTTGGTGGTGGAGGAGTAGAACTACGTGCTCTTTGCATTATTCCTTGGCCTGCATCTCCTTGGCCTTTAAAAATGGCAGCAAAATAAAGCAAAAATAAATAAACAACAGCTGCTGGAAGACACTGCCAGTAACCTTCACTCCCCGAGAGAGTGACTGGCCGGAGCCAATTTGCGAAGCAATTGCAAATTCTGCTGTTAATCAAAGTGGCTTGGGGAGGAAGTTAGGCAAAAGCCCAGACAGTGTGTCTGGTTGCTCTGTAAATGGTGCAGGAAGCCACCAGCGAAACATGTGCATTAGAAAGAGAAGAGAGGCTGATTTTGGTAGGAATAGGAAGTTATAATAGATATGTGATAAGCAGAGATTACATTTACAATAGGTGATACCGAGTGATAGAGGCTGTATAAGGATGCCCTGGTCAAACAGGAGCATTTTAAATTAAGATTTAAAATCCACCTCAGCTTTTGCCAACATGATGCCCACTAGATGGTCTGAACTACTGCTCCCATCAACCTACAACCTGATGTTATTCTGGCTAGGGCTGATGGGAGTTGTAGTTCAAAACATCTGCAAGGTTGCTCAGTCTGCATTAGGTGTACTTTTCACACAGTTCATATTTGGTCTTTTGATGGTAAATCCCCAAACTGGAAAGTCAGAGGTAAAAACTAAACAGATGCAATATGATTTTCTTTTGTTATAAGAAAAAATACTGCTCCCTTTCCCTTATGGGGTATCTAAGAGCCCGTGTTCTCGAAGCTACCAACATGAGTTTGACCAACTTGCAGGAGGCAGTGGAAGACAGGAGTGCCTGGCGTGCTCTGGTCCATGGGGTCACGAAGAGTGGGCACGACTAAACGACTAAACAACAACAACAAGAAGAAGAGCCCATATAGAGTCCTTATGTGGGTTCTCTATCGGTAGGAAAAAATAACAGAGGCCAACCAGAGAATATTGAGAAGCAAAGCAGCTAGTAAGCATGATCTTTATTAAACTGTTGCAACAGGGTCTCCCACTCCCCCCATGCAGGGAGGGAAGAGAGGAACCCAGAACATTGCTGTGCAAGCTCTTATATAGATTTTTGAAATTGCCTACCCTGTAGCTCAAGACCACCACCCAAAACATCATACATACATCGCAGAAAGAGGTGGTCCCCAGCAGAAATTTGAGTGTGTTGCTTCTCTTCTGTCTGCCAGGATACCTGATAATGCCTTATCTGATTGCCTTTTCTGGGAGGCCTGGCCATTCCTTTGAGGCAGTAAATACAGTGGTACCTCGGGTTACAGACGCTTCAGGTTACAGACGCTTCAGGTTACAGATGCCGCTAACCCAGAAAAAGTACCTTGGGTTAAGAACTTTGCTTCAGGATGAAAACAGAAATCGCGTGGCAGTATCGCAGGAGGCCCCATTAGGTAAAGTGGTACCTCAGGTTAAGAAGGGTTTCCAGTTAAGAATGGACCTCCAAAATGAATTAAGTTCTTAACCCGAGGTACCACTGTACTTAGTTCCTGAATCTCTTACTCTTGTAGATAGTGTGCTCAGCTTAACAGATACTTGCCAAACTTTATATTCAGGGAGGTGTGAGCCCCTACAGTCCAAAGACAATTAGAAAGCTTTTCCTATTTCCTTCCTCCTTGCAGAGAAATATTTGAGGTCAATTTGGGAGGGTCAAAATAGCTTCAGGATTGTTCTCCTGTACTATTTCAGACACGTGGTTTATATACTTATGTATGTGTTTGCCTTGTACTACACACACACACACACACACACACACACACACAATACCTTAGAATTCCTATAACATTTGAATAAATCAAAAATCAAAAATCAAAATAAATCAAAAATAAAATCTGAGTGTGTTCCTCTTTTCCATGGAAAATCAAAGAACATGGGCATGGTGTAACAACAGCTTTCCTGTTACAAAACAATGCAAAATGCTGTCTGCTCCAAGGTTGTAATAATCTTTCTAAGGTCATGATCCTAAAAACATTTATTTGGACAGTCTCTACGGAAATCAGCAAGACAAGAATGTGGAACTGGTGGATCTCAAAATGTTGTTAGACTCCAGCTCCCATGATCTCTGGCCACTGACCATGTTGGCTTGGTCTGATGGGAGATACAGTCCAATAACAGCTACAGGGGACCACATTACTTACCCCTGCCATTAGGACTTTATAATCATTGCCATGTCAGTGATCACAGTAACCCAGCCTTTTGGTTTCCAGGAAGTGGGAGGAAAACATGTTGTGATGAATCAACTTCCAGGAAATAAGGAGAGAGTTTTGCTGAAGCCACGATGACTTGGACTAACTTCCACTTCCTTGTGAAGATTTGTTTTCCCCAGCAACATAGTTTGGAATAACCCTCTTATCTGGTTGCAGACAGTAGGTGTCACCATACACATGAAAAGAGCGAGCCTGACAATGGATTAAGTAATGATGATTAAAGAGTCAAGACACTGCACATGGATGAGCTTTCTCAGATCCTTATGAAGATACTCCTGTGCCTCTGAATATAAAGGTGGCCCTATTATTAGATATCCTGTTACTCAACAGATGGTGAGGCATTTCATTAGTGTTACAAATGTCAACTCCTGCACTAAGCACATAGAAAGCAGCCTTATACTGAGGCAGACCATTGGTTTGTTGAGCTCAGTTTTGTCCACACTGACTGGCAGTGGATGTCTAGAGCTTCAGGCAGGAGACATTCCCAGTCCAGCCTAGAGACGCTGGGGATTGAACCTGGAACCTTCTGCATGGAAAGCCTGTGTTCTACCACTGAACTACTGTCCTTCCCTTGGCATTGTCAAGTTTATTTTCTCCTATATGCCTTCAGAAGTCATATTATATAAATTCACATAGTAAGAGGTCCATCAGTGACTATTAGTCAAGATGGTCATACAAAAACTCCAGAGTCAGAGGCTTCAGAGCACCAGTTGCTGGAGAGCAACAACCTTCATGCCACCTGGTGATGGACGGGTTGGCAACTGTTGGAAGTGGGACGCTGGGTGGACTTTGATCAGATCCAGCCAGGTAAGGGCATTAATAGGAATGTAGAGGACCCAG